TTATATTGTAATTGATAAATGATTTAACGGAATCTGTTACATTTTCAATAAAAGAAAAATGAATAAATTTTTTATGAATATGCTAGAAATTTAAAATATTTATTCACTGTCATAGATTCAGAAAATTTAGCCAAAACTAATACAAGACATTCTTATGATGATTTAGAAAGCTTAGAACCATATGCTTATATTTTAAATCTGCCCGAAGCTATGTCTGCAAATAATTAGAATCATTTTGTATCAATAATGAATTATTATGCATAATGTAAGATCTCTCTTTCTAAGAGGTCGGCGAAGATTTTAAACTTGAATTTAGTTGTTTATTATGGGTTTATTTTTTGTTTCCTTCATGAGCTCAATTTCTTTTTCTTCAGTAGTTATCTTGTTTGAATTGGTTTCTTTTTCATTTCTAGAGTTAAAATATTTTTAAATGTTTAATAAAATTATATACAAGATGAGATATTTGACATTTTCGAAGATCGTTTCTGCGACTTCTTGGTTGTAGATGGCTCCGTGTTTTACTTATTATTTGGTGACTCTTTATTTTCTTATCACTTCTTTAAATTAATCACTTATCTTTAATTAAGTTTTAAGTCTCGTTTAACGGGCAGGTTTATGACACAACACGCGTCATCGGCCGACACATAATAAAACATTTCTTACAGGCATTTAATTATGTTTATTTTATAAAGCTATGTTGTACAGTGATTTACGTATTGCATTGTAAAAAATTCAACTTGCTGACTTTTCATTCAATACTAAATGTCCCAATTACAGTTCGTGCCCTTGCCATGGCAAAGCAAGGTTCGAATCTGGGTAAAATAGTTTTTGGTTAAAAATAAGCTATTTTGGACACTAAAATTTACAAGACATACAAATAATTAATAAGATTTATTTTGTTTTTGTGAATTTATATAAATAATACTGTATTTGAATTTCAAAAACATTTGTATGGTGATTTTGTTTTAATTAAATTTTGTATTAAGATAAAATTAAATAATTTTTTCTAAAAGATATACAGAAGTTAAAAAAAAGTGACATTATAAAACTATAGAACAATCAAGATTTGTATTATTTTTTTTACGTTAACCATAAATTAGATACTGTGAGGCCCCGTCTCTAAAGAGACCGGAGAAGATAAAATATTACACTTAAATTGTCAATCCCCCATTTGATTATAGATTTCAATTCTTGTTTATTTGGGTTTGTGTTCGTATTCTTTGGTTTCTTCATTCTGAGTTGTATTGCTTCTTTAAATAATTTTGCTTAACTTAAATTATCGGACAGGATGACTGAAATTCTAAGTTTCTGGGCTCTTTTACTCTCGTATGAGTAGTGTTATACTTTTATAATGATAATTTTTCAGATCAATCCTTACCTGTCAAAATATATTATGAGCTCTTGTCTTCATAAAAACCTGCTTCATTTTACTGCCAATCTTTTCTTTTAGTCAAAAGTCTCATAACGAATCTTGTGCCTTTGACCGACAAATACTATCTTAGTTCTATTCCTATGATCATTAGTAGTTATTTTCCGATAAGATTTTTTAATAATAGTTGTGGCATGAAAAAATATATCAAAATAAAAAAAATTTATTTTGTTTGTTCTTAAATTTATTTATGTCGAAACCATTACAGCAAATTAATGAAATGGCTATAGTTGTAACAAAATGATTGGTTAATTAACTATAAAAAAAATAGCCTCCGAACGAAGATGGAAAACAATAAAGAAGTTAATTAAGACAATTTGTATAGTTGGAATATTATACAACTTATCTTTATTCAAACCGCTTCTATTTGTAGAATTTTCCCTAAAAGTTTATATTTAGACATATGTTGTAAACGTCACAATGAGCATTACCTTATTGCATTATAGAAAAGTATTTTAGGTTCGAATCTGTGTTAAATATTTTAATATAAATTTTAAGACGGGAATTCGTAAAGTTTGAAAATATAAATATTAAAAAATTTGCAAGAGAAAACACCTGCGTATCCGTGGATCGGGCGAAAGCAAGACTCGCAACAACAAATTTTGATTTCGTCCCTAATTGATGTTTGATCGTTAACTTTTTTTTAAGAAATCTACGCTTGATAAAAGTTCGCATATATATTAATTTTTAATTATGATGACACTAAATATACATGCATAAATAATTTGATTGTACATTAATTTAAATATAAACATATAATATGTTTTTGGTGATGATATTATACTAGTTAAGCATACAGATTGTTGTCTTTATCAAAATTTAGTTGTATTAATAAATTTTCTCTTAATTTAATAACAATATATTTGAATGTGTGCAAAAAAAAAACATATTATCCTGATAAAAGGTCTCTTGTATATTGTAAATGTAAATTTTTAAATATTTTATTTACAAATTTATGATGTTCTAAAGTTTGGCTGAATTTTTTGGTATTTATCTTCTTTCAGCAGTCATTTATTTTTACGAGAAAAAATTGTATTTAAATAAAAGTTGTTTGTATACAAAACAACATTTGATAAATAAATACTAAACTGTCGGATTTAATAACTTTGAAAGTAAGGTTGTTTATTTAAATTAAGTTTTTTCTGAGTTCATATTGCTTAGCATATCTTCTCCTTAAAGTTTCAGCTTAAAATGTTTTTATTGTTATAAATAAATCAAATAAATAAACAATTTTCTAGTGAAAGTGCCGAAAACAAATATAAAGAATTTGAATAGTCAAATAACTATTTTTTTATAAAAAAGGATGTCTAAACAGATTAGGTGTAATCAAACAAATTAAAAATGTAATCATGTGCTAGCTGCACCATGCCATAAACTAAAGACAAATACAAAATTAATAATAACACATTTAACATTCAAAAAAAACATACGTAGTGTACTTTTTAGTGTACTGTTTGATTTTTATTATCCTGATGATTTATGGGCTAACAGAAAATAAATCTTTAGATTTAAGTGTACGCAAAAAAGTAAAAATTCATTTTCTTTATTTGTTTACGCAATAACGTTTGCTTCTAAGTTTTTCAAAGTTAATTTAAACAACACTTTGAACGATTATGGATAATAATTGTAATTGTCGTGGCCATAAATCTGTCCTTAAATTCTATATCGACAAATTTCACAATTTGGTTGCTCACTAAAACTACATATAACTTGATCCAAAACAGGGAATGCATAAAGTAAATAATAAATCTATTGACATTAATATTTACTAATTAAATCTTTATATGATTAGTATTTTGCTTCTTAAAAATATAATTTTTAGTTTTTATCTAAGTAAATAATTAATTTTATATTCTGAATGCTATAAAATTTACTACATTTAAAATTTATGAAATTACTAACTATAAAGTATACTTTAGACTTAGATCTTGACAAGAAGTCACTGATATTTGCATTTTTTATATTAAAAATATTTTAAATATTAGAAGTGCCATTTATAAGGTAAAGATTTACACTTGTATCCTCGTTTCTATTTAAATTATATATTAATCAAAAAATAAAAAAAAATATTTATCAGGGTAAATATTATCTTTCTTGTTTGCATTTATTAATAGCCGTCTTCGGAGTATTCAACCCCAAGTCTATCGTCTTAAAGTTTTCATCTCAGTATTTAATTCAAGCTCAGATAAGCATCGGGGCTTCGGCGACTGGCGATAGTTAGGCTTTTCAGTGCCATCTTGAAAATTCTTGTTTGTATATATGCTTCGATTCGAAACTCAATCTGTGACGATAAACGCAAGAAAGTGGCCAGAACTTAAGAAGATCTCACAATTCTCGTTCCTGTAAGTAAATTAATCTGTTTGTAAGTAAATAGTTTATTGTAAAAATGGTATACTCCTTTTTATCAAATTTAGTGTTGGTCTTGCGACCTCGCTTATTATAAAGAGCCTGTTTATCCATTGTTGCTTATCAATTATTTTATTTATATAAAAATCTCTTACGTTGTTTTAAACTATTAAAGCAATTGTTTAAACCAAAAAAATTGTTTCATGTGGGATTAATGCCACACAATCCTATCTCATTTGCATATAGGCGTTGGTAATTTGTCATTATACCATTCTATCTCATTACATAGGAAATAATTTTAGATTATCTATGAAGAATATTTGTTTAAAATAATTTAATTATATCATAAATAAATATCAAAAATAAGAGTGTTTAGCACACCACGCTATAAAATAATACAAATAATCTTTCCAAAAATTTTATTGTTGATTAATATTTTTTTAACTGATATCTTTTAATTTAAATAGTTTCCCATGAATTGATTTAGTTCTTATATAAATACTATATAGTAGCCGATCAAATTTATTAAATTCACAATTCGAATCGCTACAAAATTTATCACTAACCATATGTAAATTTTTAAAAGTAAAATTTGAAAATAAAATTTCTTTTAAAATCTCGAAACCCTCGTCAAATTAATTACATGCTAGATTTAATGAATTTAAAAAATCTTTGTCGCTTCTTTCTTTATATTAGTATCAACAGCACTTAAAGTCTCTAAAAAACTTGAAAGATTTTTTAACGCAAGAATTGATTTTTGTCTTAAGTCACAAGATAAATTAGACATTTCAAGATTTTTTAAAAAATGTGGTATTTGATTTTTAGTAATAGGTTTACAAAAACGTCTAAAATCTTTTTCAGATTGTTGGTATCTTCTGTAAAATTCACACTCGTTAGCTGTAAAAATATCAACCAAGGATATCCTATTACATTTGCTTTTATTATCGAATTTTTGTTTATTTTTAATATTATCTGTTCGAATGTTAAACACTTCGTTAGCTTTTGGTTTTTTCCTTTTAATTTGTACGTTATTATTATTTTTGTAAGCATTAATAAAAAAATTACCATTTTCTGGTTTTTTTATTATTGAATCACCAACATTAGACGGTGTACCAATCTGAGCATTATTCGGCTATTTAAACAATTAGTTTCTCTGTGGTAAGACTGATGGTCTAATAAACCTAAAAGAAATTACTTTTCAAGAAACTATTGTCTTTCGAATTAACATATTGCTCTTGTATTAAATCATTTTGATTTTTTTGTAACAATAAATTAGTATTATCATTACAAGACATATTAGTGTAAAAGTATTCCGTTGTACTATTTTCATTACTGTTTGAAATTTTTAAACTTTTTGTATCATTTCTTGACTGTTCTAATGTACAATATTGTTTTTCAGATACATTTTTAATAATCGTATTTCTTGTAAAACTATGTGGCACCAAATTGTTCTCCGCAGTTATTGAAGACGAAAAATGACGCAAATCATAATCAAAATTTTTATTTCTGCTATTTAAATCTTTGCCTGCGAAATCTTTCAAATAATTTAATAAATTCTAATCAGATTGATTTATATCTACTTTTTACCTTCTGCTTTTGTCAATTCTTGGCTAATTCGTTGTTTATTTACATCCTCACATAATTCTTAATTTTCAACTGCTCTTAAAATATCTAATGTATTTACTCTTAAATCCAATGCTAAATTATAATCTATTTTTTTTCTTGAACAAAAAACTATCTGCAACCAAAATAACATTTAACGGCTAAAACATTTTTTAAATTTATCTAAAATTATAATTACATACAATATTAGGTTGTCTAAAAAAAGATATGATAGAATAGATTTAACATGTCAAACCCAACTATGATCAAAAAAGTTGATTTTTACAAGAAAAATAAATTAAATTTTAAAAATTTATAATTCTGAAGAGAAAATTCTAATTGAAATATTTTACAGTGAAAAAAATAATAACAGGAATATGAAATAGTAATTAATTAATAACAAATAAAATTTATTAAATTTTATTTATTAGAAATAAGAACTTGGGCCGAAAGGTGTCTGTTTTGGACATGACATTGTACAAACTAAGCTCCAAAGAAAAATGCTTTTTAGTAAAAATTATATTTTAATGATAATGTTTTTCTTAATTGTTTTTCTTTTTTTATAACTTAATTAAATAAAATAATTTAATTGTGAAATGAATTAGCTGTTTGCTTTTTTATTTAACAAATTAAGATTCTACCAAGATTCAACAGGCTTAAAGAAGCCAATCTCACTTTGCTATTATCTACCAGGTCAACATCTCTTTGCCTTCTATAGTCAAAGAAAATGCTTTCCAAATATTCTTTAGTACTATTCATTAAATATATGTTTTTGTCCTGATTGAGATATCAGTCGTTTTTTATGCTTTTACGACAGTAAATTACCAAGCCATTACATATGGTATAATAATGGATTTAAATTCATGTATTTAAGCAAGTTAATTGGATAGTACATTATATTTTTTAAGTTTTTCTGTTTCTACTCTGTGCAAACTTCCAGCTGATATAATTCCTATTTCAATAACCGGTATCTCTTTCTTATCCATTGCTACTAAATCAAGTCTATTAATTTTTATCTTTATATCTGTTTTGATCGTAATGTATGTTGATATTTTTTTATTTTATAAAAATATTTCCCAATTTTGAAGCTGAGCAAAGATAGATATAATTGGCTCTTTTAAAATAAAACTGTTGTTTCTTTTTTCTTCATATATGTTAGATACTGGATCCTGGCACTAAGTGGTTTCTTTATCTTTTTCTAGACTAACTCCGCATTTATTGCACAATAGTAAATACATGCACTTCACCACCTCATTATGCCTCCTTGTGTATTCATTACCTAGCATTGTCTCAAATTAGATGCTATATGATTTAAACTTTTTCCTGTTACATTATAATCCGAGATCATTATTTTCTTTCATAAAAAAATTGTTATCTTGAAGATAGCAGAGTATGCCCTCTCTTATCGCTGGTTTGTTATTATATTTTGATTAATAATATCGACGATTCTTTTAGCAATGCTTTATTTACTAAGAAAGCGCTTTACAGTTTTTTATAGAGTATTTTTGTTTTTATATCGTTGTATAAAATGTCCTTTTAAGTTGTTATTATTTTCTCTTTATTAATGTAAGTTATTTCAATTTATACTTGCTTCTTATAAAATTTTTAATTAGCCAGAAGTAAGGTTTTCCTGTTCTTGTATTTTAAGAATAGCTGCTCGTCTTCTATTTGCGTATTGTGTCACCTTAAGATTTCTATAAAGTTGAACAACACTATTTTAGATCGATGTTTTAGGCATACGAGTCTCCTTCCAAGTTCGTCCCTGAATAGATATATTCTTTCTTTACATCATAGCTGCACTTTATAATAAAAATTGTTATTTTTATACAAAATAAAATTGTTAATGGCTTAGGTTTGTGTTAAGAACTCAACTTAAAATATAATGAATATTTTGTTATTAAAGATTTTTTAAAACACATAAATAATTTTTTTTTACCCAAAAAGTTTATATGCTGCAGAAACCCACAATGGTAAGTTCTTATTCGTTACATAATTGTTGGTTCTTGCAAGTTGACCAGTCAAAATTCGTATACTCTCTTAAGTGGTCTTAATGGGTGTACTATAATAACTTGCCTTCATTTATTTCTTTTAAAAATATTTAAAGAAATCTTATCTAATAAAAATTTTATCTTCATACCCCAACACATGTCTTTTTCATGGTAATCGAAGCTGCATGAATGATAGGAAACAAATAAAGAAAAATTCACGAGATTTAGAAAATGACTTATATCTATCTATCTACTATCATCTACTACATTATAAAAGGAATAGGAAAATGTTTATTTAATTTTTAACCCCTCTTTTTTTAAATTTGTAAAATTTTTTTTATTTTTAATTAATAAAAAATAACACAAGTATTAAGTTTGTTTCTGTAATTAAAGCACAATATTTTTGTACATTTTGTAATGAATCCCTCGGGCAATCTCCTCGTGCTGAGGAAATACTCTAAAATGTTTGCGTAAGGTTTAGAGTATTAGGATTAAAATTGTTTTTGATTGAATTAAGTTTATTATAATTTTTGTTAATTTTCTGCTAGCCCAAACTTTCCATTTTATCTTGCCCCTCTTTTAAAATTTTTTTTATAGAAAAATAATTTCTAGAAAATTTAATTCCATTTGTATTGGCCAAAAATGAAAAATTCGTGTCGTCTTAATACCAAACATTTTCCTTTAATTTTATCAAATAATTTAAATTATATAATAGTGACTATTGAAAAATTTTATTGTTGATAATGAGTGCATTTTATACTTTTGAACAATATATACAAGTGCAAAGACATAACGCAGATTGAAAAAAAGAGAATACATCGTGTTTAGAATTTTGTTTAAAACGGAATAGTATTAGATAGTGTGTCTATACTTGGATAATTTATAATTATTAACTCCCATGTTTTACCTCAACAAAAGTCTTTAAACTTTGGGAACAAATAAATCATATCAGTTGTTTTTAATTAAATGTAATGCATATTTAAAGTAAATTTAAAATTAAGTGATACATATAAAAATAGACAAGAAAGATTTTAATGGTTCAACTAATGATACAATTTGTGGAGAATAACGCAATAAAATAAAAATATTGTAAGAAAATTAATACAGACCAAAACGAGGATTTAGAAAATAAAACAACTTTTAATCTGGAAATTTAAATATTTTTAAAAAAAATCAAAATGACTAGCTAAAGTTTATAATATTTCAATTTGAAAAGTGCAGTAAAATGGAGTGACTAACATTAATTTTTAAAATTAATACTATATGCACTTAATGTGAAGCAGAAATGCATTTAAAACATGGTGGCATTTACTTAAATTTTAAATAGTTAAATCTTACACAATCAATTGTTTTGTTTACGGGGTGAAAAAAGCTGCTAAAAAGTACATTAAAATGAATGTCTATTTATTACAGTAGTGGCCGTTTAAATGCAATCTTTCTTAAACTATGCAATATTTTTATTGGCATGCCCACGAGGATAGGCTCTGTTCTTAAAGTTTTTTCTAACGTACTCAGAATGCTATTATTATTAAAATTATTTATTAGTTTTTCCCAAGTTCTGTTTTAGGGCTCCTATGTTTAATTTACTAAAGCCACTAAAATGTTGCATTTTTTCTTATCCTTATCTTAAAAAATTTCATTTAAATGATTTTAAACTTTTACGATCGCGGATTTAAAACAAAAATTAAATTTTTAATAAATTTCCTTGTCACAGCGAGAGCTATGAAAAAAGATAGAAAGTTTCTTTTGGTGAGTATTATTGTTTGGTTTATACACCTTTGAATGATTTATTAAAAGAAAAGATTGTTGAGAAAAGTTTAAAATTAATTAAATTTTTTGTAAGAGTAAAAATCTACATTTTTATCTAACAACTTTTCATTAAATTAAAAAATTATTATTTTTTTAAATTTTAAGTATTAAGCTTACTGGGCGTTAGTGAACTAAATAAAATAAAAATTTTTAAATATTTTTTATCAGGTGTAGTATTAAACGATAAAAAATAAAATCTCGACAATTTCACAGAAAGTACTTTTTAGTAAGTAAAAGGCTTATATAATAACAATTTATTAATTTGATACTAATAATATACTAAAATAAATTCGTTTCTTGATTAATTCTTGTTTGAGAAACGTCAGTTCGTCAGTGGCACGATGTAGCCAGCTCATAACCATCATCAAATGCTTGTTTAATTAACTCTTTTGTCTACAAACAACTAGTCGAAAAAGATTGTATAATATTTTTTCTTTATCATTATCTAACTTTAACTTTACTATTTAATATTTGGTGTATATTTTATTCGCTTGTTTTTTATTTTAATTTATTTAAAACTATAAATACATTTTTAATCGTACAAATATATGGACTACAGGAAGAAAAATAAAGTAAACAGATCAAAGTACAAAAATTTATCAAATAAATTTTATTATCTAAGTAAGTTTTTAAGACCCGAAAGTTAGATTATTCTTAAGCACACGCAACTTCTTCAAATTAAACATACATTACAATTTGACGTCTTCAACAGGGAATATCCTGTTTCGAAAATAATATTCTAAAATGTTTTTAAAAATATGCTCTTGATGGCCTTGTCTACAATACTTATGTGATTAATTTCTCTTATTATGATTTTCGTTGGTTTTGTTCATACAGGTTGCTTTTCCTATTGTGAAGAGTAAAACTTATTAAATATTAAAAAACATTCTAGAAAATTCCACAAATCCTTATCTGGGATTTCAAACGAAAAAAATTTTAATGAATAGGTTATTATCTAGTAGTAGAGAAACAAAATTGCTTGCATCAACAAACATTTTCTTTTTTTTATGATAAAGAGGTATTAGATGATATTTGTTTCTAAATTTTTCAACGAAAAGTTGTAATGTAATTTGTAAACACGATCTAAGCATCATTTAGCAGTCAATAGTGCCCATAGTCGGTTTTACCAGTTGAAATTAATTATTAAATTACGGTTTAAATCATTGCAACGAGGTAAAATAATTGCATGAAAATTTGAATCCTGTTTTGAAGTCTAAAACAATACTAAATTTTATTACATAATATGTATTAAAATACTGCAATGTTTTTCTACAACTTTCTATCTTTCAATTCCATGAAATCTTTTTTTATAGAATGAAAAGATATTTTCATCTATGCCCTTTTGCATTTAATTTTAACGTAAACTTATTAACTATGCGGATAACAATAAGTTTCTTTTATTTTTTGATTGTTAACAAGAAAAAATGATTATAATGGGCCACATAGAATTCACGCGTTAAGTTCGCAGAAATAAGAAATTTCCAGTTTTACGATTGAATTTTCAGGTTATCTTCTTTTCACTTCTATTGAATATATATCATATATCGGATTTTAATGTTTTATTGCTTTCTAGAACGAAAACCAGAAGAAACTAGTATAATTTAAGCTGTTTAATAATATAAGTCTAGTTCTAATAAACATCAGATACAGTTTTACCCACGGAAAGTAAAAAAATTTTGAAATTTCTGCCTTTGTGACAATAAAAAACACTTTTCTTCTTGCGCTCATTCGTTGATGCTAATTCAATTTGGTCAAGATATTTAGCACCATGTATTATTTTGAAAGTTGTAAGACTCTTTAATGAGGAAATTGGTTTTTGAGTTTTTTTAAATCTGTCGTCATGCTTTCTTAGAATCTAGTAAAATACCAAAAACTTTTTGCATGTTTATTTGTAATTATACGTATTAATTGAAAAAGCTATTATTGTATTAAGAATATAATGTATCCACGTGGTTGGATAATAATAACCTTATTTTATGCACAAGGCGTATGAAAACTTATGCAAACTCGCTAGATTATATAATAAATAATAGCTTTTAAGAGACAAATAGAAAAATTAATAGACCAATTAAAAAGATTAATCTAAATTTTTATTAGGTTGTAGACAAATTGAAGGAAATGCTTTTGCAAAAATTACTGGCTGACTCAGCTCTGAAATTAAAAAGAGAAGGTATGCCAAGCAGATCTTAAAATCAAAAATCTATTAAGTATGTTTAATGCAGGTTTCATTGATTTATCCTAATTAATTGATGGATTAAGTAATAAATGCAAATAAATTAAATATTTAGTGAAACAAATTTTTATAATTATTTTTTATAGTAAAAATGCATTATAAAATAGCAATTTTCTTACAAGTAAATTCAAACTTTTAGTAATGTTATACAAAAGATTAGAATTTGTTACTAAAACTTCAACATATTTTCCAGCAATAGTTAGAAAAGCTATGAAATAAAAAAAAGAACAGAATTTCATAGAAAACAAAACCATTTTTAAAAATTAAATACACTAAATTTAGTTTAAAATTGCCTAAAGGTATAACTAAAGAAAACATCTTTGCCTCCCTTTGACATCCTAGATAGGGGTTAAAAAAGTCTTTTTTTTCAAACAACCGGCTCAACACGTTATTTTACAACAATAAACAATGAATAGCTTTGATGTTTCATCCCAAAACTAATACTATTACAAGATTAAAGAATGGAAAAAGAACTATGTGTTTTTTGATCTTTTTGTTTGTGATGTGCAAAATAGGTTTTTTTTTATTTCTTAACAAATCTAATATTTGTCTGATCTTAAAATTAAATACCTTAATATATAATGTTGATATTTCTAAAACGTTTTTTAATTACTTTTTTTTAAAAATTAAAATTATTTAGAATAAGCACCAATTTGGTTTCTTAAGCGTGTTGTTAGAACTAAATTCTTTAATAAAATTATACATACTCTTTCTTGGATAGCCTTATTTATAGTTCTAATGGCAATTAATTTTGCGAAAATTGTTTATGAATTGCTAGATATAAAAAATGGACACGTCAATGTTGTTTACAAAAAATAATTTTTAGAAAAAAAATCCACAATCAAATTTTTTAAATATTTTGTTTTTTTATTTTAAAACTAGCCTGCGCTATCTCGTTTATTAAACGGGATAAAAATAGTGTTTGTTCTTTCTTTTTAGTGGAAATTATGCGTCTTTATGCATATTTTTATAATTTTTAATAATAAATTGGCCCTTTTTATTATTGATTAAAATTTGCTATGTACACCTTGTATAGGATTAATGTAACCAAATAAAAGCAAGAGAAAATGCACAAAAACACCCTTCTATGCATAAAAAATAAATCTTACACTTATGCTACTCATTGTTATTAAAATACAAAGAATTTTACAAATTTTAAAAAGAAAAGGGTTAAAAAATAAAAAAATGTTAAGATTTAAACTTTTTATATATATAGGATGTATAGCATGAACAACATAAACAAAAATGACTATTTTAAACTTTAATTTTTAGAAAATTTTATTTACTTGTATTTTTTTAAAAAAAACTCTTTATTTTTATCGATATTTCAATGTGTCAATAAATGAATTTTTTTGTTTTTCTCTTAATTTTTACCGTAAATTAATGATATTTTTGATTTTACGTATAAATGGTTTTTTTATAACCCCAAATATGAAAACCAATTTCTCAAGAATACTTAAGATTAAAAGTGCTTTTATTTTGATTAGTATTGGGTACTGTTTTATAATTTTTGTAAAATTATTTATATTCTTAGTATCTTACTATTACAATGATTTTATTACGGCTGTAAATGCGGTAGCATCAGCAAATTCGTTTTTTATTACAAATTTTAAGAATAATTGTAATAATAATAGGAACTATGATCAAGATAAATTAGAGGAAGCTGTTGAAGAACAAACAGTAATACAAAGGTTACTGAAAAAATGTCGTCAACCCTTTTCATTTTCATTATGTATCTTGTTACTGTTTGTTTTTGGTGGATTATTTTTTATCGTCTTTAAAACGCGAAATAGTTTAGAAATGAATGGGTCATTTAACGAAGAAGTAACGACCGCGTCGTTAAATCAAACAATGTAATCACAAGACAAACCATCATATTCAACAGAAAGGCATTTTTCGACCCTAAATAAAAGAAACTATCTTTAAAAATGAAAAACACTATATTTTTATTAACATCGTAATGCTGTTGGGAATATGTTCTTTCTAATAAATACTTTTTTTCCATGTATCTTTATTATTTCGTTTTCTTTTATGTTTATCCTTAAATTACTTATTTATGCAAATAAATTTTTCGCAACATTAAAATGAGTAAATTAAATAAGTGAAAATTAGTTATTATATCATTATACTATTACAAACACAAAGGTTACTGTTTTTTGACACTTATAACAAAGTAATGTGAGGACTGGTTAAAACGTGTAAGCAAGAACAAGTTATTTACATAAAAATTTAATGCTAAGCTCTGCTGTAGGTATTTTAATTAAACAAGATACTTAACTAGTCCACAAAATTTTGTTCTTTCTATTAGTGTAAATGATTATATTTTATTATAAAAATTGTATGAAAATAAACCACAGTTTAAAAAAATTTCGAAATTGAGGCACAGAACATCTTATTATTTAAACTAAGAACCACGCTAATATTTTATGGATCATTGTTATTAACTCTCTTGAAATAATCGTTTTTTATATCAATTTTTTAATTCCAAAAAAAAAACTAAAAACAAAGAACAAGTCTTTTTGGTAATTTAAAAGAAAATAATATATCTCGATTTTACAAAGACATTTTGCAACATAACTACTTCGAAATATTGAATCTTATAAAAATAATCTATTCGATTTTTTTTATAACACTTGTTATATTACAAAAAAATATAGTCTTTCAAATTGAGGAAATAGTAAGTTTATTAAAATGAAATTCTTTTAAATTATAAAAATCACACTTTGATAATTTAACATTACTTGCATTTGATTACTCCTGTATTGGGTAAATATCAAAAAGATATTGAAGGATGTTATAATTAACAATAAAAGTGATGTTGGAATCTCGACAGATATTATTTGAAAAAGATCAAAAAAATAATGATTATAAACTTTTACTTACCCAATAAAAACATGCAGTATTGATTTTTTTGACCTATTACATATAAGATAACATTTTAGACGTTGCTCTAAAATCATGAAATTTGTTGTAAAAATTTATTAAGAAAAGACTTAATGTAACTTATGAAGGATTTGAAAGTTTTTAGGAGTCTAATGATAATCAAGGCTTTTTTAAGATATAATCCTACTTTGTAACTATTATGATTTTATTGGTCTAAAAATTTTTATAAAAGTTTTTAATTCTATATTTTTTATAGTTAATCTTGCCCGTTCAACGTTAAGTTTTATATAAATTTTTAGTTTAGATATTTAATAGCAAGAATTGGTTATTTCATTCTATTCACATAACCACTCATTTAATTTTTTTTTTAGAATACAATTTATCTTGTAATGTAACTGAACACTTAACATTAAATAAAAAATTAGTAAATTCTTGATGGGCATGTAAGTTTTTTTAGTTAAAACATAACCTGATGCTTGGTTCAAACAAATAGATGATTAACATTATACAGAAATATTTGTAAAGAAAATTTAGCAGTCTAAGAAGTTTATAAAAAATCGAACAATAAAACTTCTAAAATTATTGTTAAATTAAAGTTTTATCTCTTAAAAAATTTTAAACATTGGGTTTAACAAATAAATGGAGGTAATGTTTGTCAGTGTGTAACGATTTGCTTATGCTGAAGTCAAGCATAAAATAAAAAACTAGTTTTATATTTTTTCTTTATAATAAAGCATTTAACACTTTTAAAACAAAAAAGGGATTCAACACATTAAATTTGCAGAGAAATGGGTTTAATTTATGTAATGTTTAATAATTTTATATTTTAAAGATGGTTAATTTTAAGAATGAATAAATTTATTTGGGTACTCAAAAGTTTTCTTCTAACTTTCTTAGAGTTCGATATCGACTAGCTCCTCGAATAACTTTTGCTCTCTTGAACTTCAACCTTGCTTCTTCGATGTTTTCAATATAAGTTAAGCGTCCTCTGCAGCTTTTCACGTTCAAGCTTTCTGGTGTCATTTTAAGCACTTTTAATTGTACATAAGCCTGTTTTGTTGTTTTAATTCGATATAAATTCCATATTTTTTATGGAATCTTGTTACTACATCATAACATGTGTTAATGTTAAATTTATGATTAATATTAAAAAAACAGGATTTTGCTATTGCTAAAAGCTAAAAATGGCACTTTAAAATTCTATTTACAAATTTTAAAAGCTTTTAACACGAAAAATAATAGACTTTACTGCTTCTTTAATTAATGAAAATCCAAAAACTTTACACTGTTAATTATGTGCATTAAGTGCCATAAAAATTCTAAAATCGATCGATCTGCTGTTTTTAAACTATCTAAAAAATATATTAAATAACCTTTTTTGAAAATCTGTGCTTGGATTATTATAGAATGGATTTAAAGCAAAAAAACTTAAATTTATTTCTTAGTTTATCCTTGCAAACGAAATAACACTGTTATGCGGGATTAAAACAACTATTATACCATAAGTTTCAATTTGGGATGGTATTGTTACTAAATCCCATAAATTACACAGACGAAGATTGGAAATCCCAGACAATATCGAGGCTTACACCCAATCTATAATCTAAAAGAAAATCCTGGAAAGCATTTATTTAGAATATAAAGAGACTCGGGACTTTTAAAAATCTGATGAGGAAAATATAGCTACGGCAATTCCGCGAATAGCGAACGAAGTGAGCCCAATCCTTTGCAGAACAGAAATTAAGTTGGTAGTGATTCATAAATAAATAATTAATTCCTTAGTTTAGATAACTATCTTGATCAAAAGAAAATTGACAACACATTTGTATTCAATTTGCTTATTTTTAATCAAAACAACGCAGATTTTACAACAATTGAATACGAAGATCTTTAAAACTTAGGTATCTTAAAAGATACATAATAAATCAAAATGAAAATTAATTAAAACCAATTTTACATGGATATATAAAACAACGATATTGGATGTAGTTTTATTATTTAAAACTATTGGAAAAAAGATTTAAAATTGTTTTAAATTATATGAAGCAACCAAATTACTTTATAAAGACAGAAAATAGATGATCGCATTATATTCACAAATAAGATTGAATAGAACATTAAACACACATATGGCAACATAATTTTAAAATTGCCACATATGATTTATGTGACATTAAAGATGAAAAAGTTATTCCTGAGATATTAATGACAAGAAATTATAAAAAATGTTAATATAAAAATCTTAATTTTGTTTTTTAATACTCGTCATACAAAAAACTAGAAGTAAGAAAATACAATATGCTTATTATACATTAACAGAGCTGATATAAGAAGGACAAAATGATTTTCTTAGTGCTATGTTTGATGAATTTATGCTTAAAGTTAACAATTTGGAAGTAGATTATCTCTAAAATGATTTATATGAAATATTAAGATGTTAAAAAAGCTTAAAAACACTTAAAAAAATCAAGAACTTCTTGAAGTTATCATCTGAAACATTACAAACATTCAAAATATTTTTGTGATAAACGAGAAAAGTTGTACGGGCTTATATATACAAATAAATGAGCAAAATTTATTAAATGGGGTGGTATAGTGACAAAATTCCGCAAAAATTAACAAATAACAATGGAATAGACAACCAAGTTTAAGTATATATTCAGTCCAAAGAATGTGAGATAAGTCTAAAAAAGTTAACAATGTGAAGACATGGAAAGAGTCTAGCTCATACAAAAGATGTTAATATGCAGAAGAGTGTACAAAACAAAGGGACTAAGCCAATCTATAAGTAGGTAATTATTGCAAATTAAGGAATATATAACAACTAACAAAGGCTTTTACCCAGAACTTGTTAATTTATTATATTTGTAAACATTCTAACAACTGATGCTTTTTATAAAATCTTGACTTTTCAATTTTTTCACTGTATTTTATATTTTATGCATATGTGAATTATTTAATCTTAAACACTTTCAGTTAATAAAGTGGCATTGTTTTTGTGATTACACAAAATTATTTGTTTAAGAAGGCTGGCCAAAACTTGATTGTGGTTTGGTTAGACGAGAAGAATTATTTTTATAGGGCATATCTTATTTAGTTCAAACTTCTTAAATAGTTTTCTTTATTGATCTAAAGCAGAAAGATGCAGATCATTCACAAACGTTTAATTGTGGAATTTGTGTCTAATGGTTTGCGAAGTAAAGACCTCCGGCAACATTACTATTTTTGAAATTATTTATTGCAAATAATTTTTTTAATTTTTAAATTTAGATAAAAAAAAAATATTAATTTTTAAATTAAAGCTTACAGAATTTTATCTGTTCAAATATGAAAATTTACAGGTATTATTATTGTCATGATGCAGCTGACACATGACCATCAGACACTGTTTGTTGAATCAATTTTTGTGTGGTTAAACAAACAAGTGAATATTCAATGTAGATGGGCCTTTTCGTTTTTCTTTTAGCTTAACTTTAATATACTGCATTCTTATATTGTTTGTTTATATAATCATTAATTAAGTAAAAACTATAAATAGGATTTTTACCTATAAAAGAAAAAATGATGGACAATGGGATTAACAAGAAGACTTCACAATACTTTCACGAAGCATCTCACATAAACATAACTTTTCTTTAAAATCTTCTAAACCTGACAATTTTCTATATATAATATAATAATTTATTTGTTTATTGTTATTGATTAATTCTTATTGGAGAAACTTCAGTTCATCAGATTTATATTAGCATAATCACACACAAGTTTTTCAGATTAATTTCTACATCACAATTATTTATTTCTTAAATCCCCAGCTGATCTTTTGTACCTTCTTGTTATATTTTTTATTTATACTTAATCTCCTTCTCTTAAAAAATTCCCCTTTCCCCAATCTCAAAACAGCGCTAGCATGCCACATGGGCCCTTGGCTTAGTAGGAAGTTGTATTAATCCCCGTAAGGATCTTACAGAAAGCCGATAACTGGCAGTACGCTATTAGACAAGGGGTTCACTGGATCTTGTGGTCGGATAAGGCGGTATGTGTCTAATCATCGTGATGGTCTCTCACCATCCCACGTGAAATGCTAGAGCTTCACCAGCTTGCTATGCCCTTCCCAGGCGAGTCTTCAGATGCAATTTCATACTAAAAGTCTCCGAATATGACTTGCAAATGCTTCCACAGCTACACGGCAATTGTCATGCCAACCTAAAGATGTTATACCTCTTCTATATCTCTAAGGAAATTTCAACCGTTAGTTGACGCCTACAGGAAAGCTTTTAAACGACTTTTTGACAAATATTTTATGACAATTGTTGTGTCAGCGCCAAGTTATTACTTAGCGAATTCGCATTGTTGGGATTTAAACCCATACCCTTTCGAGCATCAGGACGAGGCGTAACCACTGCACTAATAATGCCTCTTTGATTGTTCAATATTTTATATGAAAAAGCGAGTTAAAAAAAAATTATTTTCGCAAGGAAATAAATTCAAAACTCTAAGAGAATTTAAATGGTAATAAAATTATTTATTGTTTTTTAATGATAAAATCATATTTTTTGCACAATCCTAACATGTATATTATAAAAATTCCCTCTTGCTCGCTGTGTTTTATTTGGCAAAAAGGCTTTTTATACGTTTTTTTCAATAGATTTTTTATGCTTATATACCTCTTCTTGTCAGGCTAAAAAATTATCAAATGTATAAGTAATAAATAAACTCTACAAAGTTTTATTACACATTTTTTTGGCCAAAAAAATTTAAATTAGCTACACTTTCCTCAATTTTGCTTGTGTAAATAGCAATTGGGTGTGTATTGTATCTAAAAGATTATTTTTTACTTTAGCATGTCAAGAATTGTAGTCGTTTTTTAAAAAATTTTATTCTTAAACTATATGTTTTGATATTTCAAACTTAAAACTTAGTGCATTTATCTAAAGCCTTTATATTTTTACAAAATAACACATATACAAACTGCATTGTTCAATTGTATATTTTCACTATGGATTTATGGTTGTGCTGAGTTGATTTTTCTAATTAAATGCATTTTTTTTATTATAGTACTATATCATTTATCAGAAATAAGGAATGATAAAAATATATTGCAGCTCCATTTTTTTAAAAAGTTTTTGACTTAAGCATATTCTTTAAAAATGCTAAAATTAACAAATGTCATAAATTCATGCAAAAAGGGAATTGATTTTTACATCTTTAGTACAAATTAAATATTTGTAATGTTTCAACTATGTTAAAGTAATTTATCAGATTGTAAATATTTTAAAAGCTGCACAGAAAAAAGTTATTTGCGAAAACTACATTTACTTTTATACAAATTTTATAATGTATTATTTTTGATAAAAATTATTTAAAGTATTTTTTAAAATTTAAAATAAAGGATAAAATAAAAGAAACGGATATAAATTTAAAAATATTAATTACATCATAATTATTACTAAATTGTAAAAGTTCTAAAATAATTGATACATTAATTAAAAACAAAAACCTTATTTTTTGTTTTAATACTTTTATTCACAAAAAACATATTGCTTTTAATTTGTGATTAAAAGTTGTAAAATAAAACTTTTAAATAAAAAGTATAAAATGATTTTAAAAATATTACCCATGAAATTTTTGTTTTTGATTGTTAGTCTTTTGTTTTGTAAAAATTTTAAAGATTTATTAAAAAAGAGACTTACAAAGGAAAATTTTGAACCGGTGAGTGCTGATTTTTTTCAGAATAATAAGTGTTTTGTTTATAAGATTATTATTAATGATCAGAATTTAGTATGCACGACAACTGAGTTAGAAAAAGTTATCTCTAATCAAAGAAAGCCATTAAAGGCTGAGTATGATTTTTCACCCGAAGCAGAAACCGAAATACTTAAAAATATTTATTTTTTAAAAAATGAAGAAAAAATATTTTTTGTAAGTTTTTATTTGTCTAACATTTATAATAAGAGAATACAAAACATATGTCAACAGGCATTAAATTCTATTAAAAGAAGTTATCCGTCTTTGTGTATAATTCCAGGTTTTGGTTTGAACCGTTTTCAAAAACTTACTTGTAATTTTTTAGCTTTAGATAAAAACTATCAGCCAGCATTTCATATTCCAAGTATTAAAGATGGTAAAATAAGTACAATAAAAATAACAGGGAAAGATTTAAATCTAGCAGGTCACTTTAAAAATAATTTATTGCAAGTAATAAAACATGGAATTAATCAAAAAGAGGTTAAAATGTGTTTTGAAAATTTTGATTTTGTTAAATTTTGGTACTTTAATACTGTTTATTCTATTGAGTTTATCGATACATCGAAACTACTTTGTAAAAAGGATGGAGAATATCATATATTTGAAAATAGGTGCTTATGTTGTAAACGGGTAAGTATATCTGCTAATTTGAATAACTTTTTGAGACAAAATCAAATGTCAAAAGGTGTTCTTGCTCAATCTGAAAAATTTATTAACGAATTCTTAAATATTACCTCAGCCAAAGCATTCGCAACTATGATTTTGTATAATTCCCTTCCAAAAGATACTATAAGGAATATTATTTATGCGAATGTTAGTGATGCATCAAATTTTTACCGTGTAGCATTAGCATTTTGGTTAAAAAATAATACGCCAAGGTTACCTATAGAAATTGATAATGGTACCAACAAAAGGGATTTAGAACATAAATTATTGATTTTTAAAGAAGAATTAACCTCTGAAGAAGCAGAAAAAATCAAATCGTTTTATAATATTTTAGCAAAATGTGAGTTTATTACCGTTAGTGACATGAACGAATTATTTTATGCATTTATTATTTGCAAAGCTTGTGCAGAGAATAATCATCCTAAACTTTTAGCTTATAATTCTAACATGCACAGAGCAAAAGAATTTTTAGGTTTAAGTCTGCCATCTTTAAGTATATTAGAATCGTTTTATACAATATTTGGAGATTATAAAAAATTTATGGGTGCTATTGATCTGAAAGGAGAAGAAAATTCAGTTTATAGTATCATAGAAAGAGAAATAGAGGAAAGATTAAAAAAGAAAGAGTAGATTTGCTTAATAAACTTGTAATATTAACTTTATTTTTAAAATATGTAAAAAATTTTTGCAGTTAAGGTTAATTCACATTAAAAAGTACAAAATTAATGAAACCAACTTAACTTTTTATTAAATAATGGAAGGTTAATATGATTAAAAAACATTTAAATATAATTATAATTAAAGTCGTTTTTGACAACTGTCTAAATAATTTATAAATTAAAAAACTAAATACCTATAAACAATTATGTGTCATAATGACATTTAGCATATAAATCATTATCAAGTGTTTGTAATTACTTAACTTAATGCTTGTTAGTAAACAAGGCATTGGAGTAACAAATTAACTTTAATATCATTGTTTTAAACATTTCTACTTAAACTTCTATAAATCAATTAATTTTTATTTGCTTGTTAAACATATAAAAATTAATTAAGAAATTTAGAATTATAACCTCAAGAAAAAGGGAAAAGTATGAAATAAAGGAGACGGGTCTTCTAGCGCAAACTGCCTACCATGATTTTTTCTTTAAAATAAGGGCTAAAAAATTAAATATACAAGCAAAAAATGAGCTCTACATTAGAAAATGTTAGAAGATAGGCAGTTTGCACTTAAAAAGCAAAGTTGTTTTAAATTAAAAATCAAGCAATTTTGGTGCATATGTTTTTTTCCTTTTTATCTTACCTATAACATCAAGCTTCATTTAAAGATAACTTTTTCACAATTAAACTTCGAATGAAGATTAGTGTTGCAGATAAAATCTTTTTGGATATGTATGAATTAAAAATATTTCTCCTAAGTTATGAAATTATTTAACTTAATATATTTTGTGAAAGTTATGGAAGCGAATGTACTATGGACAGTTAGATTGATTCTAGTAGCAAAATAACATATAGGTGTAAAAAAGTATTGTCAAAAAAGATATTCATTGTTTAGACTAACAATGCCACTAACTAAAGTCGTGTATTTGATCTATTTTCTACTTCTAGATGTTAACTACAATCAACTTACACACTTCTATTTTTTTGTAGATTCAACTATTTCAAGGTATAAAAACCTCCTCATTGGCCGTTTTAAATATTATATAATGCAAATACCTTTCATTGAGGCGGGAAGGGAGAAATTGTTGAAGTATTGAAAATGTTTCATCACGAAGAGGCATTATTCGAAGCCCTATATGTACGGATGATGACACTAAAGATCCGTTATCGGTTCTTATAGAAATAGATCAAACAGATGTCAGAAATTTTTTTATTAAGTGTTGCCGACAGAACTATACAGTCTTTAACTTCATCTATGAGAGGACTGATTTTACCCGCTAGTATTATAAATACAGACGGCCATCCGTCGTATCCAGCAACTACTAGGAATCTTGGGCTTGATCATAACGTTGTTTGTTAACCATACAAAAGGGTTTTGTACAAGTGACGGTTCTCATACTAACAATATTGAGGGGTTTTGGGCCCATATGAAAAGCTCAATGAGAAAAGAACACGGCGTAAAGCATTCTAGCATAGACAAACCGCTTATTCAATATACTTTTAAAAGAAGGTATTTAATGAATAAAAAACCCGAAGAATTTTCTGAAACTTATATCGAAATTCTGAGATTATTTTCCGATTAAATAAATAATTATTTTTTTAACCCCTTTTTTTCTTTTTTCATATGGTAGGCAGTTTGCGCTAAAGACCCAAATAGCTCTCTAGACAACTTGCCCTCTCAGGGTTTTGAAATCTATCTACTTAATAACACGCCAATGGCCTGTAAACTTTATACGATACTCTTTAACCTCCATGCAGTTTAAAAGAAGAAATAAGCAAGATTTTTAAATTAAATATTATAAGAAAAAGCAACAAAAATTTTGCTCCTCCAGCCTTCTTTTTAAAAACAATGGTAGTATAAGAGTAGTCATTGACTATAGGAAGTTTAATCAAAACACAGTTAAACAAGCTTATCCGCTCCTTAATATTCAAGAATACTTGCAATCATTAGAAAAGACTTTTATATATAGCCAAATTAATCTGAATGTGGGGTATTACCAAATTGTCGCACATGAGAGGGTCATTTATAAAACGGCCTTTGTTTTCTTATAAAAACATTGCGAATTCCTACGAAGACCCTTCGGCATATCTAACGCACCAAGAGAATTTAAACGGTGTATGAGTGACCTGTTTTCAACATCGACATACGTCAAAGTACTCTTGGATGATGTATTAATTTCATCTTCAAGTATGAAAGAACACAAAACACATTTAAGAAAAGTGTTGGATATTCTACAAAAAGCCAAGGCTTCGATAAATTTTGAAAAATTGTCATTTTGTAAATCAGGAGTTACGTATTTAGGAAAAATTGTTTTTGCTAAAAGAATTAAACCCGACATTTCAAGAGTAGAGAAGTTCTAAATAAGCAAATATTTGACCACCAAAAAATAGGTGATGAAACTTATTGGATTTGTAAATTGGTTTAGGCCCTAGGTTTATAATCTGTCAGTCAGGCTAGCTCTTATCACAGCCAAATTGGCTACTACCCAAAAGCTCAAATGAACGCCTCAAGATCAAAGACTCTTGACAATATCGTAAATGAAATTAAGAAACGGTCCATACTTCACTTTCCAGACACTTCTAAAGGTTATAATATTACAACCAACGCATCCGATGAAGGGATCAGTGCCTCCCTACGACAGGACAACAAATTAATTGGGCTCTTTAGTTATAAATTATTAATACCGGAGAGAGATACACAGCCATGGAAAAAAAATCCTTAGCTGAATTAAAGCCTTGCATCATTTTAAAACACTAGTATTTAATTCTAAATTATTAATCCGAACTAAAAACGCCAATTTACTTTTTACGACGGAATCAACAAATAAACGAGTTTAACGTTGAAAACTTCTGTTAGACGAATATAACTAAATTTTGCAAAGAATAAAGAAAACCAATAACACAGCAGCGGATTATATATCTCATTGCCTACAATTGCTACTGATAATAGGATGCATTCAAATATGGTTTAGACACAATAAGAAAAGAACTACAAAGCGACTTCTACATAAGTACTATAGAGAAAAAAGAACTTTGCATTGTAAAAAGACATCCGTCTGGAGGCATCACAAACCCGAAGAATCGCTTGATTATTTTTGAAAATCTTGTAGGTCATCTTTTCACACAAATTCATGAATATCTAGGACATCTAGGGGAATCAATGTTTTACAACACAATTAAAATTTAATAACAGTACCTACAATAAAAACTAAGATACGAGACTTAACAGCAATACACCAACTGTGCCAAATCAATAAAAGACTTAGGAGTATTTATAGAAAAATTAATGGGCACTTATTCACACGTATTCCATTTCAACAAATATCATCAATTTATGTCCGAAGAATTCATAACAGAATTTATCCAAGACAAATTTTTTATTCTGACAATACAGTATAAAGCTACCAGATGGGAGGAACTACAAATATTATTTCGAATTACAGCTACCAAGGTGGTTTGGGCTATTGAAGCAACCCAGATCCACAAGCATCAACCACCGGAAATGACACTTATAGACGGGAAGAGCAAATACCACAGGAGAATATACCAATATGTTAAAACGCTACAATATTTAACAAATTTTGACATCTTTTTACAATTTGACTGGGAATAGCCTTAGCAAACAAATAACTCAGACGAACATTTTCGTAATAAGAGTTAAGAATAAGAATATTTTCAAGGCAGTAGCTAAAGCACAACTTGCTTTAAATTATACTTACCACTAGGCACTGTGGTTATCCTTATTTGAATACCGATTTAGCGCTAGCCCACCAGATCCATTTTCTAGGACGATTCACATTGATCAACAGACTACACATGACAAAAATAAAAACCGTGCATATATAGACAACCTAAAAGAAAACAAATCAAGAAAGACTGATTTTGTGCACGCCAAAGATTACAACATTTATTTACAAAGTTTTAGTCCTACAAACAAGCTAGGTTTAAAATGGTTAGGTCCAGGAATAATCGAATTACTAAGTATTAGTGAAAACCAATTCATTGTCCGCATCAACGACATCTTATATACAGTCAGCATTAAACGTGTTTGGCCTGTTAAGAATGGGGAAAATGTCATGCTTCCATAGATCTGATCAACGGTAGCCAATGAACGATTCTTTGATCACAAGAAATTATTGGTTCTTTCAGTAACCAATGGAATCCTTTTATTAATTATAAAAGTATTTAAAGAAACTTTTTAATAAATAAATTCCCTATGAAAGCTGTTATTAAAAACAAGTCTATATACCTTTTTTTCTTAGAAAACCATACTATCCAACATAAACACGGCACTACTAATATTTAAATTTATGATTTATACATTTATAATTTTATCCTTTCAGCCTACTTTTTATGTAAACTTTAAATTTGGTTTTTGTTGTGCACAGTACAACCAATAAAAGTTTAGTTGGATGAAACACTCTTCCTTTTTGTTCATCCTGCGATATTATTGTTTTTAGAATGATACATCAAAAATACTCATTATTCATTGGTTTAAAATAAGAAGAAAAAATTATTTAAGAAAAATTACATTAATAAATATTGTTTTTACTAAAAAGCATTCTTTCCTGTATCTTAATCTGTATAATTTTTTTGTCCGGTACAAGCATCGATCCGATCTAGGCGCCACCAGTTCTCTTTTATAATTTTGAAGTTGAAATTAAAACTTTTTATTAAAAATGTATAATTTCTAAAATCTAATTTTAAAATATTGTGCTTTTATTTTGATATTTCGAAATATATAAATTTTTTAATTTCCATTTTAAGAAGTATAAATTATGTTTTTCTTCCCCAATAAATGAAAATAAGTACACTTGACAAAAAAAGAAATATTGTTGTTTTTATTTTACTTTGCTATTGTTATAAATGTATGGTGTTTGTATCAATTAATATGCTTCTATATCACAAAATATTAGTTTTGGCAACAAATGAGTCAACTGCAGAAACATCCTTTAGTATTGAAAATGAACATCGCAGAGATAGTCAACAGTTTTTCAATCTAGAAGAAATAGAAGAAGAAACCAACCAAGATAAACAGACGCAAGAAACTTCAGATCTGCTAACAAATAAGTCAACTGTGGAAACATTACCTGGTAATAAAAAAAAAGATGGCGTGGACAATCAACGGTTATTGGAATCTAAAAAAAATAAAAAAAAACTTAATCGAGATGAAAAGATTGAAAAAAATTGTAAATTTTTAATGAAAATGCTTAAAGTCTCAATAATTATTATTATAATATGCTTTTCAGTGGTGGGAGTTTTTTGGTTTTTGGCTTTTATAAGTAATCATTTTGGTAATATAGATAAACAAAACGTGTACTCGTCACATTCTATGCTTTATATGAATACACATCACGATCAAAATAAAAATATAAATGAAATCAGTCAAATTCAAAACATTAATGGATGTAACCGAAGATTTTTAAACGAAAATCCCCCCGTCAATATTTATAAAAATTATCATACTGAAGAAAGATGTGCTTGTAGTATGATCTTGGATAGCGTATATAGGTTACAAAATAAAAATGTAAGATCATTATCTTCAGAAGAAGGTGCTAAGTTCCTTAAAGCTATGTATAAAAAAGGACCGTTTTTTGCAGAAACATTAAATATTAACTATTTTTTGTGTGAGCACGAAAATCATAATTCAATAAAAAATTTTACTAGCGTTTGGATTAAGGGATGGGAATTTGGCAAGCAAAAGTTAGACTATTTTATGAGTGAAGAACTTTATTTATTTTATCCACAAAACTTAGAATTTTCTAATGACACAATAAAAAGTGACATTATTGAGGTTGACAAAAGTGTATCAAAAGATTATTGTCACTCTAACAATAATTTTGATATAAGCTTTTTTTACGAATTGTTTGTAAAAAACTTTGCTTTATCAAATACCAACTTAGTTATTAAAACTGGAAGTAATTTTGACGAAAAAAATTCATTTTTTGCCATATTAAAAATGTGGAATGCTCATTTAGTCAATCTTTTTCAACAAGATCAGGAAAATAAAAGCTATGTTCCTTCATTTGTGCAGTGGATGTTAGGTTTGGAAAAAATACATTCGCTTTTGCTTAATAAAAGCGAAGAATTAGATTCTCAACAAAAAATTGCAATTAAAAATTTAAATTTTGTAATTAATCAAGCAGATAAATATAAAAATCTTTTAGAAGAATATATCAAACAAAGATTTGGTATTCAAGATTCACAATTAGAATCTTTTAAAAGGTCTGACTACCGTTTTGAACGGCTTTTAGATATATTTTTTTATGGTGCTTCTCATGATTTAATTTAACATTAAACTTTATTTTTAAAAAATTTTTTATAGCTGGGGATGTACTCATCAGGAATACGGCCAGTGGCGAGATAAGTCTTAAGTACGCTTAAGGTTCTAGGGCCTGTTCCTGTAGTCCCATGGGTAATATTCATAAAAGTTTTGTATAAAGAAAATTAATTGGTATACGGTCGTGTTAGTCTATGACTGTTTCTTCTTTGGTAGTGTGCCCTGAATTCATATTTTTTTTATTCAATTTTTTCTTTTATAGTTTTATTTGTTTGATATAAACATTACTCACAACACGCAATGATATTAACAAAAAACAAATTAAAAGCAAACAAAGAAAACGAATGAAATTGGAGTGGTAATGGTACATATTACAACCGTTTCACTCATGTTTTTTTATAGTTCGTTATTTTAAGCTTATTTTTTTAAATTGATAAAATTCTATTTAATCTACTTTTATAAATGTCAGAACAAAACAGAGGGTTCTACCAAAAATTAATGTAAATTTAAAATTGTCGAGGACCTCCTATTATCTTAAGAATTAATTATTTAAAATATTTTTTTTATTTGGACCCTATGCGAGACTTTGAAGAAGTAAATAAAAGTGTTATTGACAAAAATAATTACTTAATTTTACTTTTTGTTAATAAGAAGACTTGGTGTTGGCTAAAACCGTGAGGAGCAAAAACAATACGAAATAGACTCGATCGGTATGGAAACGAATAAGCAATGTTGAAAAGAATTCTTTCCCCTAAAAAAAGTTTTTTATTTTTAGTTAGATAGCGAAAAAAATTTTGCTAAGCTACTTGTGTCTGATTAAAAAAACAAACTTTTGTAAATGTACTTTAAGAATTAACTAAAACAACAATACAATATTTACTATAAAAAATACTTATAAAAATAATAAATTTATTTTTTTGTCACTTTCATGTTATATTCTATCTATTATTTTATTTTTTGTAATTACTACAGAAACAAAAATTTTTTGCACTTAAAGGTTAACCAAAATTTGAATAAAAATGCTATAATAATATTTACAACATTAAAAAAAATTATATTTTTTACACGTCTAAATAAATGTTTTACTAACCAAAAAATATAATTTGATATATGTTAATTAAAATAATATACTTTCTTTTGAAGTCTTTGTCGTACTTTTATTTTCTTCCATTTCTTTATCTACAAACAACCTTTCTCTTGTATGCTCTTCTACATTTGTGAAGCTTTTAAAGTGTTCAATGTTATGCTTTTAATTCTCATTTTAAAATTTTTGGATTTATATAAGACTTGATTCGGTAATTTATAATAATTTATATATTTGGTACTGAAAATGCTAATTAAAAAATTACGAGCAGCAACTTAAAAATTATACCACGAATACTAAATATGCAACGCATAAAAGCAAACATAAAATAAACTTTTATTTAAGGTATGAACTTTTAGGCTTAAGTGTCTGCATCATAGGATACTACCCACTTAACGGGTACTTATTTGCAAATAATGTCATACATATTAACAAAATACATATATTGCTTATTCCCTGTTTTTATCGCAAATAAAAGCTTTAAGTAAGCTGCTGCATTAACATTATTAAATTGATTGGGTTTTACAAAAGTTAAATTTCTTTTATTTTGATTTAATTAAGTAAAACCAAGTTTATAAGTCTTTTTTACATTCATTTCAAATTTTTTAACAATATATTTTTTTGTAAAATACACAGATTAAAAAAAAACCAAGTTTAAATATCAAGACTTGAACTTTTTATTTATACAAACACACATTAGTACAAGAACTTTTAAAACATTTTTTATTTGATAAACTTAGCGCCAGAGATATGTTTATAAACAAGTATTTTTGTTAACTTTATTAAATTTTTAATCAAAAAATTTTGTTGAATATGTTTTTGTACATTTTATATAAACATAATTTAGACTTATAGTACTTGTTACATCCATTTTGATATTTTGACAAACGAAAATACTAATTTGTTATTGTAAATCTGAGTATAAATCAAAAATTTTATAAATTTAAAGCTGTTTAATTTATTTAATAAAATGATTCGTTTTATAAAACATAATATTCTTTGTTTTGGCTTATTAAAGAATTTCAAAGCGTATAATATAATTATTTTTACAAAAAACCTCAATGTGAATTTATCAGGTATAAGCAGCATCACTTTCTTCAAGTCATCCATTTTTTGTGCTTTTAGTCATCTTTGTTATTTTTTTATATAACAACAGTAGTATTTAAAATAAGACACCTTGACTTTCTTTAAAATTTCTATTTAGACATAAGCCCAAATTTGTCTTTTTAAAGTTTAAATACTTCGTATCCAGTGTATGCCACATTGAATTGCGTATTTAAAATTATTTTAAATTTAAATATTTTATTATATTTTGATACCCAATGCTTAATAATATCATATTAATGTTTTTTATCTAAAATTTTTATACTTTTTATAAAAAAATGTCCTAAATATGTGTAAAGTTGGTAAATTAAAAGAAAAATATTTATTTTTCTTACTTCTTTTTATTAATTAAGTTTTGAAAATCAATCCGCCAATTTTTAATTGTTTTAAAAGGTCTTTTTCATACAATATGACTTATTTTTTACATATACTATTATCTAAATTAAATTTAAGTAGCTTTCTAAAATTCATTTTATTTTCAATATTTTTCGAATTGCAAAAAGCTTTTGAAGTAAGTACGTTTTTTATGAATACGTTTGTCTGAGCTCATATTGCTTCGCTTCCCAGGGTTCCAGCTTAAAATGTATTAATAGTTATAGATAAATTTAATCAAACAAATAAACAAGAAATTATTAGATGAAAGTGCCGAAATCAAATGTATAGAATGTATAAAAAAGTTAAACTTTTTTAAAGAAAAAGACTATGTAAACAGGATAAATGTAACAAACCAACTTTTAATTAGATTGTGTGCTAGTTGCATCATGACAATATCATTAATAGCAGTTGTTGGGATCAACACAATTTAGAATTGCAAAAAAACATGATCCCCCTTGTCAACATATGACCAACGGTTTTAATAATGGTTTACATAATTAATGCTTAACCAAAGAAATTCTGAAGTATCACGGTGGTGTTAAAAATTGGTCATTACTAATTATAAAAAAAGTTTTGTCATTCTAGCACCACTTACAGGAAGTTTTCTAGAAGTAAAAAATCTTCAAAAATACAACTTCCCGTGCATTTATAAACATTTTTAAGTTAAACTTTTTATTAATCTCGTAAAGAGTTTTCTATAGACTCTTTGCGTGCTGATACTTGCTGCTGTTTAGGTCTTTGCCGTAACTAGGCAATGACGCGCGATTATTGGTGCATGAAATATAAAAAGGTTTGTTGTAAAAGCTAGTCATTAAAACAGATATATTTATTTAGTAAAACTTTCCTAAATATTTTTTATTTCAGTGTGAAAGCCTATTGGTTGTAGGAGGACCAATGGCATTAATTAAAGTTGTTGCAATCATTCGATTGTAAAAAATTGGTCATGCGCTTGGAGCATGACAATAGCATATAAAATAACATAAAGTAAGAAAGAATTTAAAAATTTTATTTCATTTTTATATATTTAAAAGTCAAAAGCTTTTTATAATAGTTTAAATTTTTAAATTAGTTACTTATTTTTAATTGAAAATTTTTTTAAAATTATGCTAAAAATTGATTGCGTATATTTTTTTTATTCGCACAATTTAATGATTTTATTTAATATTCAAAATTCAAATTTTCAAATAGCAAATAATGTTTGTTAATTCTTTACAAAATAACGAATTTATAGTTTAATCTTTATTTAATAAAAAGTTTTTTATATTTGCAAAAATTTTTAATAAAAAATATGTACTTATTTTTAATAAAGGAATTAAAAATAAAAAATTTGTTAAATCATACACATTAAATTTACATATAAAGCTAAAATAAATTTTGTTTTTTATTCATTACTTAATTTGGATTTTTTTCTCTACATTGAATAAAAAATAGAGAATATTTTTTATTAATAATGATAATAGTGATTTTACATTTCAACAAAATTTTAGCAAAATAGTTTAATTTAGATTCAATTTTCCGATACCCGGTAAAAGTTCACTAATCGAAGATACAAAAAACTTATCATCATATTCATCAGGCTTTGCTAAATAAATTTTTATGTCTTTGCTAGCATTTGCAAATTCAGCTAGCGTTTGTCGACAAACCCCACAAGGGTAAACATATTCATTCGGTAGATAGGCTACAACAGCACATTCAACAATTTCTTTATGCCCTGCACTAACAGCCTGAGAAATGGCTGCTCGTTCTGCACATATTGATGGAGAAAAGCAGGAATTCTCAATATTACATCCGATAAAAATTTCACCAGATGCAGTTCTTACAGCTGCACCAACAGCAAATTTACTATAAGGACAATATGCATTTTTTCTAACCTGCCTAGCTCTATTTATAAGTTCACTTATTGATTTTGTATGTTTGTCTACATTTATATTATTAGAAAAATTAGACATGGAAGGGATAATCAATTAAAAAATTTTAATAAAATATAATTCATTATAGGTAACAATTTTTATAGAAACTAAAAAGATTATTTTTTTGAAACGCCTATATGCCATTTGTATAGACCATCCCTTTAAATTAAAAAAAGGCGTTTTACAAGTTTTTCTTAAAAGCTTTTTTTTACATATGTTAAAAATTGTATTATTGAGATATTATCTTTACAAATAACATGGGTTAAATAATTTTAAAAAATTTATTATGTCAATTATGATAGAAAATAGTTTATAGAAATGTTGACATGAAGCGGTTATTTCTAAAATAGCTACTTTTCCTCTATTAAATTAGTAAATACTTCACAGATTTTAAACACACTATTTATTATTTTAAGATATATAAATATAACAAAAATTTAAAAAGGTCATGCCGAGATTCGAACTCGGATTAACAGATTCAGAGTCTGTTGTGATAACCATTACACCACACAACCATAAATACTGCTAAATAAAATATACTAAATAAAACAAATTTTTACAGTTGTGGATTAGTTTAATTTTAGAATATAGCATTTAATAATAAAAATCACCAAAAAAAGTTTTTAAAATAGTTATTGTATGCAAAATTTATTAATTGTAAGACTCATAAAATGCGCCTTATAAACTTTCTAGACATTTTTCGGTAAATATATCCTTTTTAAAATACTTCATTTTACTAATTTATATATATTAATGATATTTTGCATCTATAATTTGATTGTAAATAATATATTATAATATCTTTAATAAGTTAAAATAAAGAATTTATTGTCACATTTTTAATAAGTTAAAATAAAGAATTTATTGTCACATCTTTAAGTAATTAAATAAATAGATATTCTTTAAAATATTAATTTTATTTAGTAAAAATTATTTCTTTATTTTTTAATAACGTGTTTAGTAATCATAAAAAAATATGAAAAGTGTTAGTAAACCTACTACACTAAAATGTCTGCTAAATATAAGATCTTTAAAAGTTGTATATTTTTTATTTTTTTAACCCCATGAAATTAGATTCCGTTGCAAACACAATGAGATTTCTAGGAGATTTTGTTCATATTTTAAGTAAAGTTGTAATAGCATATAAAATGGAAAAAACCAAATCATGTTCAGGATTAAGCTTTAAAACACAGTTTTTATATCTACTAGTATTTATTTTTAGATATTTCGATATTTTTGAAGTTAGATTTTATGATTTATTAAGTGTTTACAATTTTGTTCTTAAGTTAACTTTTGTAAGTTTTCAATGCATTGTTTTTTACTTGATTAGAAAAAAGTACTATGCTTCTTATGACAAAAAAACTGATGTGTTTAAAATAAGGACCATTCTTATTCCCATTGCTATTATTTCCGCATTTCTTAAGCCTTCTACAAAAGGCATATATGACTTTTTATCAGAATATTTATATGTCTTTTCGCTAATACTAGAAAGTGTAAGTATTCTTCCTCAACTTGTCCAAATTCAAGAAGAAGGTGAATGTGAAAGTATGACTTCTAATTTTATATTTTTATTGGGTGGATACAGATTTTTTTACACTCTTAATTTTATAATAAAAAGCCTTGCTGGTAGAAGAATTGGTACATTACACGTTACCACTGGTATTATACAAGTAATATTGTATATTGATTTCTTTGTACTGTACTACAAGAATGTATTCTCTAAAAAATTTAAACAGGAATCTAATTAAATATTTTATTGATATTTTTTATACCCTTTAAATGCTTTCATCAAATGCAAAAATTTTCGAAATACAATCTCCACCTACAGATACCGTCTCAGAGTTCTCATTTAGTACATTACATAACATGATGATAGCATCAAGCTGGGATGGAAGTATTTCTTTATATAATCCTATTTCTCCTAACGGTTTTATGAAAAATATACAGTATTCTAAACCGATGCTTTCATGTTCTTTTAGTAAGGATACGCCTGTTCATTGTTTTGGGGGTAGTGCGGACGGTACCCTACACTTTATAGATTTGGAGAAGGGAATTTCAAATAACTTTAAAGCGCACAATGATGGAATAAAAAGTGTTAGATCGTTATATAATTCAGTTATTACTGCCAGTTGGGATAAAACTATAAAAATATGGGATACAAGATCTGCGCAATGTACGAAAACAATTGAGTGTGATGGTAAAATTTATTGTATGGATTTACAGAATAATTTATTAGCTTATGGTACATCTACTAATGCTATGTATAGTTGTAATATTAACAATATGGATAATAAAAAGAAACACACACCAAGATTTAGTTACATGATAAAATGTCTTAATGTTGGATCTGATGACAAAAATGTACTTGTAGGAAGCATTGAAGGAAAGTGTGAAATGATTAATACTACTTCTATTTATAACGGTATTACATTTAGAAGTCATAGAAAGGATACAAAAGTTTATTCTGTGAATACAGTAAGTATCTTTCCTAAGAATTCTAATATTCTAGTTACAGCAGGTGGAAATGGTGATTTGATTTTTTACGATAATTTAAGTCGAGTAAAGACTTTTACAAAAACGGAAGATCTTCCTGTTACTGCTGGTGGATTTAGCACCGATGGTAAATTATACGTATATGGGCTTGGGGATGACTGGTCTACAGGGTATGATGGTGTGTTTAGAAAAACGTCTATTAAAGTAATGGAAGTTAACTCGCTTGGAATTAAAATATAATTATATGTTTAATACTGTAAAATTACATTTAAATACTCATATAGCTTGCATTTTACATTTAGAATCAATTTTTTAATATAATTTTCAAGTTAATAAAAAAAAATATTTTTAGTTTTTCCCTACTTTTAAAAAAATGAGTTTCTATAGATAAAAGAATAGAAAATGAATGATCTAATTTTTTATTCTTCTTTGTTATTATTTTGTGAAAATTCGTTGTATTTTTTTAAAACAGAGCATTAGTCTTGTTTCGAGCAATTTTATTTTCAAGTTCTTCTCTTAGTAAGGATCATAACATTGTAGCAGCAGCCTATTGGTTACTATAGAACGATTTGAAAATATGTTTCAGGAAATAATATTTAAGTATAAATTTTATCAATAAATATGTTATTTTTAAATGTCAAATGTTATTCATAAGAAAGTAATCGATAGAAGAAATCTTTTAAAACCAAAAGCCATTTTTTGGCATCCGTTCAGTAATTTCTCTTCTTAAATTTTTTTGGCTTTGATTTAATAAAAACGTTTTTTGATCTTCAACGTTTTAAAAAAAAAGTTTTAACCCCGTTATTGTATCGTTAGTTACCAGCGGTAATACGAAAGCGTAAAGTTTTTTTTAAAATTGTATAATAAATATTTTTTTAGGTTATAATCAAAAAATTTAATCATGAAGATTACGTGCAGATAGAATTTGAATAACAGTTAAAAAATACAAAATTTAAATTTTTATCAATAAAACATGCTTAAATAATGTAACATACATTTGAAAAAAATACATGGACATACATTTATTTGAATGTTTCCGTTTTTAAACGACAGAATTTCGGCTAGTATTTATAATATATATTTACCATTTTAAGCATTTCCTAATGATCTAAAATACTACTTATTCTGATTTATACACCAATGCAATACTGAAATATTATAGTACAAAGATTTTAAAAGATCAAAAGGATTTATAAAAAAAATAAGTTTACACATAAAACACCGGGTTCTTGAACATCTAAGAGAAGTAAATTTAGTGATGGTTTTAAATGAAAAAATTAAATAGTTTTTTAAATATTTTTTAAGAAAAGAAATAACTGTTAAGAATGATATTTTAAATCTACAAAATATTGTTATGTTACCATACGAAACAATCAATGAATAATTTACACACTTTGCTTCAAGGTTTTTAATAAAAAATAAACAAATCTTTATTTTTACTGAATTTAATTTATACTAAATTACATTTAACATTGTTTAAGTAAAACAATTTTTAATTTATTTTTTGCTCTAAATGTGACAATAATTATCTTTTTATTTTTAATAAAATTTGTTGTAAATAAAAATTTGTATTTATAAATAAAATAAAACGAAAAATTTACAATTGATGAAAACTGTTCTTTGCAGCTGGGATTTTGTCTTATTTAAAATAATATTAATGATACTATTGTCGCCGTCCTAATTAAACCACCATTTAATTAAATTTTTAGACATAAAAATTGCTATAATGTACATATAAAGTTGGTAAATATTTTAAAATAATTTGTTTGTTTTTTTATCAATAAGTACTTGTTTTTGCATAATGTTTTATTTTATTCCTATTTTAAGAATATAGTTGCAGCATAATTTTGGAAGAGAAAAACAAAAAATTGTGATAATTATAAGTGTCGTAGAGATATAAATATTCTAATAATTTTTAACCCCAATTCCACCATGCCTGAAACTAAAGAAATAAATAATCTTAACGTTAATTGGAAACGCATTGTCTGCTAGATTTTAGACTTAAGAATAAAATATGCGTTTTATAAAAGAGCAAAAAAAATTATATTGTGAAGGAACGCAAGAATCTAAATTCAAATTAGAAAATGATTGATAAAATTTTTTACTTTAGAAGTGTGAAGATTGAAACGTTGATTCATGTTAGTAATGGACATACGAGCCGGGACAGATTAAAAATTGATGTAAGTAGACTCACTATTGCCAGATTTTTTAGAGAACGATATATTTCTGATACAATACAATTAAGATATTATTGAGAAGTAAATGATGGGTATATGTGTATGCTTGTTGTCATTGACATATTTTCTAGGTTTAAGTGGAAACCTTTTTTGCGAGGCAAGGTTGTTTTGTCTGTAGTTTCTATAATTAAAATTATTTTTATCTTAATAAGCATAGTCTCCTTTTAATTAAGATAATGGAAGAGAATTTTGCAATCATTTTGTGTTTAACTTGCTTTCTGCCTTTGATGTAAGACATCTTAGTAGTTGTGCCAGATGTCTTTAGATATAAAGGCCTGTAGAAAGAACCAACCAAAAAAAAATGAATAACTGGTTCTATTCTCATGACAATAGATGCACCAGGTAGGTATTTGGATATCTGTGTATGAAAATGCAACCCAATTTTATAATAGATTTCGTTACTCTACAATGCCACTACACGGTTTAATTAAATGCTTTGTTTAAGTATAAGGAAGTTTATTGCCAAGATTAAATAGATTCCTGTGGCGAGAAACGCAGGAAGGCGACCAGGACTAAGAAAGTTATCCACAATGCTCGCACCTGAAGCCAAACTAAATTGGTGTAACTTAAATGGGTTATTAACTTCATGGGGAATTGTGCTCTTGTGAGATCCCCTGTTGATGCTTATGTAAGTAATTCATGACAGCGATGCCCTTCTTTTCATAAAATATTTTTATACCAAAATTTCTTCAAGAAAATTCAGAAAATAGAAAACATTTCATATAGAATTAATACCACAATTCCATACTTTAAAAATTACTGAGTCTAACAGTGATTTAAAATTGAATGTATAGAAGAATGTTAATTATATTTCATTAGAAATTTTAGGTTTTTTAAATTTAGAAAATTTAATTTTACAATTTTTAGAAGAGCAGGGAGTAAACAACATGCGCGTTGATAATTCTATTAAAAATTTAGTTATGCTAGAAATTGCAAGATTATATTTAAAAAAGCTGCAGATCACAAGGTTGCAAAGAACAGGTGGCGAAGTAATTTCTTTTAAATAATTAAATGAAAGTATTTTAATTAGACAGACATTGGCAATAATACATAAATGAGATAAATGTCATTTCATGAACACTTAAGTAGTAAAATCCATATTGTTTCTTATTTAAAAAATAAGTGCTGGTTTACAAATTGGTAATATTAGGCTTGCTGTGGATTTAGAAAAAACGACAAAAAAAAGTATATCTGGTTAATGTATACAAGATAATTTGTGTAAAATGGGATTACATGGTAGGATTGCATTTAAAAAATCATTTCTGTCAAAAAGCATATTTTGAAAAGGAAACATTATGCAATGAAACACGCTTGCTACTCTGATCAAAAATAAAATAAGGTTTTTTTAGCGATGAAACAAGAAGTTTATGTGCGAAGAAAAGTTTGCTAAAGATAAAATAAAAAATTTTTAAAATCCACAGCAAAACATGAATGAAGTGGTATACAGGTTTGGGCATGTTTTTTATGTGCAGGTGTTTGAAAATGTGTATAATTGATGGTATAATGAATAATGGAACATATTGTAGAATTTTAGTCAATTATCTTGAGTTTTCGCAAAGAAATTAAATTAAAAAATAATTATTTGCAGAAAGATAGTGATCCGAAACATACGAGTAAATTTATAGAGAACATTTGGTAGATAAAAAGACTTTAACTTTATATTGGTTTGCACAATCTTTAGACATAAATCCTATTGAAAATTTAGGGAATATTTTTAAGTAGAAGTAGGAAAAAGAAAATAAAAAAATATAAATGAATTAAAGAAATGTGTTAAAGAGGAGTGAAATAAAATAGATAAATAAGTGTGTAAAAAGCTAGTACAAAACATTAACAGTAGATATAATGAGTAAATAAGAATGAAAAGTGGACATACTAAATTCTAAATAAAAATATTCCTTTTTTTGCCACATTTTTTTTCATTAACTAATAAAAGCATTGTATTTGCGTGATAAAGAAAATTTACTTTTTAGAAGTTATAAATATTTGTAAGCTTTCTAAAAATAGCAACAATTTGTCATATTATAAAATTCGTTATTGCAAAATTTTATTTTTTTTGTCATTACTGTAAAAATTCAAAAGATTTATTTAGTGATATAATGTTTTTACTTTTGGTTAAACAAATCTACCTTTAGGGCCTTCCCTTCGACTTTTTGACACATTGTGATCTTTACAGTCACATTTTCGTTGCTGTGACAACTAGATATTTTTTTAATATATTTATTGATAAAAAGATTATAAATTAGTTTAATGATATAAATAAAAATCTATTAAATTTATAGAAAGTATATTATATTTTTCCTGTCATGTTATTTATGTTTTTATTCATACAATTTTGATGTTAATATTACACATAAATTAAGACATTTATATTTTTAAACTTATTAAGAACATAATTGCAATAATAAGCTTAATGTTTTGCTTTTTTAAAAATGGTTAAATTTAATGATTAAATAATGTGCACAAATATACATATTTTAATTTTAAAAGTTTTTTTTATTTCTAAACTTTTCTAAAAATTTTTTATCTCTTAGTAAATCATCCAAGACTTTTTTAACCAAATGATAGTATTCATTAAAAGAAGCTTCATTTTCATAATATATATTGTATAACATATTCAGATTCTTCGCTAATCCATAATATGTATTACAAATATTAGCTACGGTGGTCTTAAAACGATCTTCAACACCTTTACAAACGTCTTTTATTTCTAATAATTTGTAATAACTTTCAAGTAGGTGGTAAGTTTTATCTTTAGCACTTTCACACTCCTCTGTATATATTTCTAATTCAAAAAAAAGAATTGCATAAAAATTAATGTAATTAACAGATGTCCTGTCTTTTAGTTCAATATTCATGATAGATTCAACTATTTTTGTAACGTAAGAATCATCCAAGATTACGAAAACATATTTTTGAGTTAAATCTGGTATGGAAGCTAAAGTCCAATTAATCTCCGATCTTGTAATAATTCGTAAGGAATAAAGCGCTTCTAAAAATATGATTTTTTTGGCTGATATCTTTGAATAAAGTATTCTTTTTACCAAGTTAGTGAAAAGTGGTTTAGTAGAAAGAGAAAATAAAGTAAATATCTCGACTTCAATACGCCTATAAGAGAATGAAAAAATATATGAACTTAACAGTTTTAAGTCATTATAAATGGTAAAACTTATTTTAAAGGCATCTTTATCGCTTACATCATACGTATATACAGCTTCCTCGTAAAAAGTCACACTTTTATGGCCAAACACAATAAAAGATAAAAGACCACAATCTTTTACATATTCTAATGTAAAATAAAAGCGTGGTATCTTCTCAATTAAGCTTTGAAAATTTCTAGATTTAATTAAATCAAAATTGGTCAAAAATTTATACACTATTCTCCAATGGTCATTAAACAATAATTTGACTTTTTTTTCTAAAAATTCAAAAAAATAAAGCTGCTCCAAATCGATAGTAAATATATAACCCGTTCTATTATCGCTAGTAATGCGAAAATCAAATCTTTTAAAACCCTGACCGTGGCCTACAAAATTAACACAATTTGGATTAACACATCTTATGTTATGATGAATATATCTACGATAACCGTAAACTGCATCATAAACAAATTTTGGACCACCATTTTGCTCAGAAAGTTGATTCAGAAGACTTTCAAGACCAGGACGATATTTTTCACCTACAAAAGTATATAAAGAGTGGCGAACAACTTTTAGAAAAACTCTTTCAACGTTATATCTTTTAAAGAAATTAAAAATATTAAGTAAATTTGGATCATTAACAGTAAGTTCGCCAGATGTCCAGGAAAAATCATTAAAAACTTTGCACTCTTCATAAACATGACAAATTTCTATGTCTACTTTATCGCTACTACCATCATTAAATACAAGATAAGCATATAAATCTTTGGCAACATTTTCAAGGGTAACGAAATCTTTATTCTTCATTTTTCTATCAACTAAAGAAATTATTTCTTCTTTAATATTTGTAATGATTAGTTCATCATCAAGATTATTACTTGCTTTAATAATTTTTAAAATATTAATAATAATAGCCAGCATCGATGGGTAAAACGAATAAATTTTATTTATAGTGTAAAAATCAAATTTTAACTTCTTCAAGAAGTATTAATAAACTTCTAAAATCATGTAAATGATACATTTATTTTTCAATCAAAAATTTAAGATAATTAAAAAAGTTAGTCTTTAAGTTATTAAAAAATTCTTAGTTAAGATAATTTATTTTAAACAACAGGAGTAGTTAAAAATAATGAAAATTTTTATCAATTTTACAAAAGTTTTTTAAAATATTCTTTAACTTTTTTAATTAAAATTTTTACTATAAAATTTGTATTTGAATTTAATAAAGACTTTAAAGAAACTGTTATAAATATTCATAAAACTAGAAATTTATTTATTGGTATATTGTGAAATGTATAATTTACAAAATCTTGGACTTTTTAGTTCAAGTAAAGATGCTTGCAATATATCTAAACAAAAAGTATAAACAGAAAAAACATCGTAGCAAAAATTGACTTTAATAAAAAAGTTTTTAATTTTGGTAACTTAGTTAAATATTATCTAAAATACATTTTTTTCCAGCTATCTCCGGCAGAAACTATGGCATTATTAGCAGGAAGATGCCATGAATATAAATAAATTGAAATAATTACTATGTAATAAAAATAACAAAGAAACGTAGCTAATATATAATAAATTTTTTAATGTCGAACTTTTATCAATATTTCAGTTATGTAATGACTTTTACTTTATCAAATAGTTTAAATATTGCATTTGATAAGAATTTAATTATTGTATATGTAGGAATGATTTTGTCATGTATATCAAATCTATTGATGGTCTTTAAAAAGATTTGATATATAAAAAGAATTTAATATTTTTAATGAATAAACTTATGCTTTGTTCTAACAACTTATATTTAAATGTTTAAAAGTTTTTCAATTTTTTATACAGAAAAAGAACTAAAATGTAAAATAATTATATTTAGAGATTAAATTTATTTATACAAATTTTTTAATAAAAAGCACTTTTAGTTTAACACAAAAAAAAAATCTATTTATTGATTATTCACTTAGAGGTAGAATCCTAATTTTGCAACTAAAAATTTTTTGAAACAATCTGTTAATTCTTACTGGTTTTTTTGTTTATTCTTGCTACATGTATTTATTTCCATAGGGGCCACTTCTTTTAAAAAATATTTATACAGCTCTATTTAGGATGTTAATAAATGTATAAATAGTTATTAAAGTCATAATTTTATACTGCTGAATCTATTTAGTTGTATTAAAGCCTCTTTATCTATGGCAAAGACAAATTAGTTTATTGAAAATATTAAGTTGCCAAATTCAAAATTTTAAAATAAAATCAAAAAGAATAGAGATAATTGATTTTTGAAATGAACAGTAACAGAGGTGAAGAATTTTTTTGTAACAAAACGGTTAATAAATTGTTAATAACTAAAAGTCTTCTAAGTACAAATTGTTTACGCAAGGCACTACAAGTTGATACAATAAATAGTGATGTTTTATGATTCGTAATCCATCTCGTTATATATTTTTTCTTTTTTTTATATTCTTTATTTTACTAAAAGTATGTTTTAACCACAGGTCTTTGTTTAAATTAAAACCTTACTAATATACTTTTAATTTAATTGCAATTAAATCATGTATTTAATATTAAATTCAAATATAAAAGATTAAAATTTGTGTAAAAAAATTTTTGATTTAATCGATGTTGTTAATCCATCTATTAATTTAGACAAATCTATTAGTTCAGTATTAAACATACCTAGTAAGGCTTTAACCTAAGATCTGCTTGAACATTGTTTGTTCTAGTTATTAATATTTTTATTATTGTTTCACATTATTAACAATAAGAACATTCAAAATAAACAATTACAATGATTAATAATCTTTATTTTTTTATTTATCTGTGCAAATCTTACAGAATTCTTAAACCCAAAGCTTTAGAAAATGAAGATCTGTATCTAACAAATATAAACTCAAAACTCGTCCTACAACCATTTGGAGATAAAGAGAACCAAAGAATATCTATTCATAAGAGAAAGCTCTTTTTTAGTGGAGATAAATACCTATCGCTAGATAATGACTCTATAGAAATAAAATTAAAAAAAGAAAAAATTGTTACTTATCTTAAAAGATCTAATTTTAGTCAGAAAAAAAGCGATCCATTTGGATTTAAAAATAAAAAAAAGATTCTAGACACGCCCAAAGAAAAAATGCAACAGAAACGGAATATTAAACAGCCGGATCAAAATATTACTTATGAAACTCAGAGGCAACCTATTCGTAAAAAAACAGAACCTGAAATTGTAAAACCCGAAGAAGAGCCGCCAGACGAACCGGTTAAAATTAGAGACGAGCAAAATATTGATATGGATAGTATATTATCCAAAGTAAAGCATTTACTAAATGAGAAAAAAAACTATCTTGTTGAATCAGATTCTAAAATAGAAGAAGATACTATAAAATATACCAGTTTAGATGTTTTTATACATCCGCTTAATGACAAGTACATTAAATTAAAAACTTTAGAAAAAGATTGTGTAACATATTTCAAGGATTCATTTATATTTACGCCGTGTCTTAATGTGGATAGTCAAATTTTTAAGATTGAGAATGAAGAAGATGTTTTTAAAACTAAAAAAATAGTAATAGATGATGAAGATGATGAAACAACCGAGATAACACCAAGTAAACGACATAAAATACCATCATCTAGAGAAAAAAATCATATTTATGAAAATGAAGAAATGTATCATGTAAAAAGTAAGGAGCGAAAACCAGATGATAAATCGGCAGTTGCATACACATATGGTACACAAGAAGAGCAGATAAATCACAAAAATAGAGACTATGGTGATAAAAATTTTAGAAAAATAATCAGTAAACGAGAAACAATTGTACCGGATTTAAGAACCAGCAAGGTAACAAAAAAAGATGGTGTAATAAAAAAATCAATATATAAACCAAGATACAGTAACGAGACATCAACTACATATCTTCAAGGAGAAAAAAAATATGATGATGCGTATGTAGAGAACAAACCTCTAGAAAATTATAAATATCAAGATAATATTACTAAAAAAACTGGCAAGCCATATGAAAAAACGTTAAACACTTCGTACGATCCTATTCGCCAAAAATCGTTTTCTAGTTATAATTCTGAATTTATTACTCAATTTAAACCATTAGAAAATAAAAAATCAATAGAATATAAGCCTCTTCCTGTGAAACAAAAAACCGATATTATACCAAAATTGCCCAATATTGTAATATCTCCACCAATGCCCGATGTAAATAAAGTAGATTCTACACTTGCAAGACTAAACTCACCAGATGACTTTTTGCAAAAAATTAAGAATAGCGTCGATATATCAGATATAGACGATTTATTGTAAAAAAGGGGAAAAAACACTAGAAGAAATAAAAATTAATTTATGATATACAAATACTTAAAAGCAGTTTAATAATATAAAATAGGATTATTTATTAAAATTTGAAACTATTTATTGTTTACAACATGTTACATTAAATATAAATTTTTATTTTGAGTCCCTAAAATGAACATTAAACAAACCTTTGTTATGATTAAACCCGAAGGAATACAAAGACATCTTGTTGGACAGATAATAAAAAGGTTTGAACGCAAAGGTTTAAAACTTGTCAATATAAAGTCTTTAATTCCTGATAAAACTTTAGTTAAAGAACACTATGGACATTTGAGCCACAAGCCTTTTTTTAATGAAATGGTAGATCATCTGTGTAGTGGCATGGTCATTTGTATGATTTGGGAAGGGATTGATTCTATTGATGTATGCAGACGTATAATTGGTCTTACTAATCCATTAGAGGCTGCTATGGGATCAATAAGAGCAGATTTTGCAGCAGATATTAATGCAAATGTTATACACGGAAGTGATACTGAGGAAAGTGCTAAAAAAGAAATAGCTTTATGGTTTAAATAAATTTTTATTTGACATCTTTACATATAAAAACTTATTTATCAATTATTTTTTATTATAAATTTTTTTATATTGTCATTTTTTTTTCATATAACTATCAATTTAAATATTGTTAGCAGTAAATGCTTCATTATAATACATAAGATAATAATAAAAGTAATATAGGTATATTAAATACCAAAATACCCTTTTATTTTTACCCTAGAATGAAAGACTGAATTAAAAAGTAAATAAATTACTTCTTAACCGCTACAATAAAATAAAGCCATCAACCAAAGAACAAGATTTTAAGACTTACATGGATTAATTTTATACGTAAGAAAGTTACTAAAATATATTCGAATTCTTCTATAGACCTTTTTGGTAGTTTTTTTACTGATCTTTATGTCCATTCTAGTGACATCGATATATCATTGAAGATAAATACTGCTGATCAGAATTTGGTCTTAAAAAATATAAAACATGAACTTTACAAAACAGGGTTATTTGCTTTTATTAATCATTTATCCCATGCCAAGATTTCAATACTTAAATTTACAGATAAAAAGTATGGATTGAAGTTTGATATTAGTGTAAACAATAATGGAGGGATTTTGGCTGGCAGCACAGTATATCAAGAAAAAAATAGAAGAGGATGGAAATATAAAGATTTTAGCAATTTTATTTAAACACTTTATTTACAGTAGAAAACTGGGTGATGCTAGTGTTGGTGAACTAAATTCATATGGTCAACTTTTAATGATTATGAACTATCTAGAATTGCATTCTTTTTACTCACGTAATGATAAAAACATATCTGTAGTATTTTTCGACTTTATATAATACTGTGGATTTAATTTTAAATGTAAAAATGTACAGATAGACACCGCTAGTAATATATATAAAACGAATAAAACCTACAGACTTTCTATAATTGATTCTACTGATCCAACAATAGATGTTGGGTCTTGTTGTAAAAATATGGATAGAGTTATTAAGACATTACAAAATTTTAAAGATTAATGATAAATCACTTTGAAAAAAACATCATTTGTGACTGTCATGACCCTCAATAACTAACCGTCGGCAGCCAAAGGAAAGTTCTTTTAATCACAATGTTAGTATTGGTTTTTTCAGTAGCCAAAAATATCTTTTTAACAGTTTATAAAAGTATTTATCGAGCACTTTTGTTAAAATATTTTTTCTATGGAAGCTTTTTATAAAAACAAGTCCATTTATCTTTATTCCTAAAAAGCCATTCCATTCCACATAGACACGGTAGTGAGATATTTAAAGAAATGTTATTGCAACATAGAGGGTTAAGAAAAAAACAGCATATTGTCGATATTCATAAAATAAAAATAAAATCAGTAAAAAAGAAATCTAAAAAGCTAGCAAGTTTTTTTGACGTAAATTTATATACAAATTTAAAGGTTATTTGGTATTCCTATAATAATTATATCAAATGTCAATCGTTTTGGTGTTCTTGACATAGATTAAAAAATGATATAAAAACATATTTTAAATTAGGGGCGCGACAATAATCCAGCAGACTACAATAAATCATATTTATTTTTATTCTATTTTGAAAGACACCTTGACTAAGAATATGTCAGACAAGTGACAAAAATTCTTTAGATCAACACGATTTTATTTAATAAATTTGCAAAAGATGTTGCCGATAAAAATAACTTAGTAGCAAAAAAGAGAAATAGAAAATTACACAAATATAAGAAAAATTCCAAGATAAAAAAATATAACATTTATAGTTCCGTGCACTCCAAATATTTGTACTCAAATGTAAAATCCGTTTTCTTCATATAACTCCATGTTTCATCATAGTCAAAAAATAAGAAATCTCCTCTTTCATAATCGGTTGTTATTAATTTTGGTTCTTCTAGTCTTTGAAACCATGTCAAATACTTTGTATGAAATCGCCAGCTGCATAATTTTAATTGAGTCGCTGCGTGGTATTGGTGAACAGTATTAGGATTTTTGTAAAATATGAAAAATAGTGTATCAATTTCTAAATTTTTATATACATCTGGACTGTCAAAAATATTAAGTGGCAGTTTAGGAAAATATGCAGGCACCTCACATATTTTAGTTGCTTTTACCGGCTCCAGTGCGCTAAAATCTGGAATATGAAATAGCGAATTTTTTAATTCTGTTTCGAAAAAATATTCCTTAGACTTTTGCAAATCATTAAAACGTGTGTTAAACTCTTCTACACGTTTTGTCGAAATATCGTTTAATCTTGAATTTATATCTGAGAAATCAACCGGTCGGGAATTTTTGCCGTTTGTATTTTCTTTTTTAGAGCCTAGAATCATTGATGCATTTTTCCATATCTGTTCAGGTGTAAGTTTTTCTGGTTTTTGTGTTTTGTCTTGTTTTTTCATTTTGGGGGTGTGATAAATAAGATTTTTTAACGGTGAATTTTTACTTGGTATTTGTATTTATAGAGTCTTGCACCTTATTTAGTTTTATATAAGAAAATAGTGTAATATAAACCTACACAGCAAAACATTTGTAAAATGCTTCTTAAATAACAATCAATTTTATTACAATGTTATTTTTTTTAAATATCAAACATATTATGACGCAAAATTTTTATTGTTTACTTTTCAATTATTATCCTTTCTATGGAAGAAAAGAAACCGTATTTAAAGGAAAAATACATCTTGCTGCTTTTTATCTTACAATATCCAAATCAATATTGTATGTTTTAACATAGACACTTATTAAAAAAATGAAAGCTATTTTAATTTACTTTGTATCCCAACTTATTCTCTTTGGTATAAGTTCTACATATCATACTACTATATGGAAAAATGAACGCGCAGAATATTTAGTTCGACTTATTGATCATATATCAATTTTTATATTAATATCTGGTACATAAACATCTGTATTTTTATCACTACTTCCGTATACAATAATGTCTAAAAGTATTATTATGATTTCATGGACGATAACTTTAATTGAAACTCTGAAATTTGTATTGTTTCGTAGGCTTAATCACATCTTTGATACGTTAGTCTACATATTACATGGCATTTCTGTTGTTCCTTTTTTTAAGATAATAAAAGCCAGTGTAAACACTTTAGACCTAACATTTATAGTAATGGGTGGTATTGTGTATGTCATAGGCGGTATTGTATATGGATATAAAAGACCAGATCTTTATCCATTTGTTTTCGGTTATCATGAAATTTTTCACGTTACAACAGTACTAGCTAATTATTGTTTTTTTATACCAATGTTTAAACGATATATAACTACATTATTAAAGTAGTGTATATTTATTATAAGTTTATTTTACAATAATTATCGTTCTTTGAATTAATATACCCGTGTAAACCTATAAAAACTTTAAACGTCTATATAAAATATCGCAAGGACTGAACTGATATTTAATCAAATCCTAAATGTATTCATTTTTATCTATCATACATTTAACTAAATATTTAACACAACCAGCTGCTCAAAACTGACCTCATGTTTAAATAGTGCAGATTTGTCTCAAGGACTTTGACTTAAAATATCTATTGTATTTGTATATTCAGCAGCATCTCTCAGATAAAACATAGATCAATAGTAATAATAAAGACATTCTTTATCATTCAAAAAAATTCTCTTGGTTTCATCAAGATCCATACCTTCAAGAGGAAGTGGGGGATCACGCGAGTCAAAAGGTGAAACGTAATTAGATTTCATTTTTATTTTTTGTAATGCCAAAAAATAGATTGTTTCTACAGAAATAAATCTACTATTTTTCCAAGTGCATCAACTATATCATCCCTACAAAAAAAGTTTACTAGCGCTTCACCTGCCTCATGTCGTACTATTCCATTTTCAAGTGAATTGCTGAGAACATTTATAATTGTTTCTATTGCATTTTCTAGTCTCATTTGACCAAGAACATAAGCTATTTCTTGCTTTAATAAAACCGATCTGCTTTTAAAAGCTTTGCACATTATGTTAACCAACTCCTCTGCCAAAATGTTTCGTAAGCAGCACAATGCTCTCATTTTTTTGCAATGTGTTGTGTGTCATCAAGAATCAGTTCTTCTGCTTTACGAATATCTATAAGAGGGGTATTAATCGATAAAAAAAGAACGTTATACAAAGTTTAAGTAAAATCTATTTTTTATCCCTTATGGTTTTTTTATCTCCACCAGTTAACTGTGATCTTCCAAATGATTCTCCCTTTATTCCAAAAAACTATAATTTTGAAATAAATAAAACACTTAGAACTATTCTCAAATACAAATGTAAGATTGTAACACTTCAATTTCCAGATGGTCTTTTACGCTACTCTCTAGCAATAATTGACTTAATATCTCAGTATACTGGTGCTACATCAATAGTTCTTAATGATGTGGTGTATGGAGCATGTTGTGTCGATGATAAAAGTTTAAAAAGTGACTTACTAATTCATTATGGGCATTCTTGTTTAGTGCCAGTTACAGAAATGTTTACAAAAGTTCTTTATGTCTTTGTTGATATCAAAATTGACATCACACATCTACAGAAATTAATACACAATAATTTTAATGAGCCCGTTTCTATAGTCGGAACTATACAATTTAATAGCAGTATTAATAAATTGAAGCGGTTATCCAATGTTTCTACGCCTCAAATAAAACCCTTAAGTCGTGGAGAAGTTCTGGGTTGTACGTCACCAAAAATTTCTACAAATGTTGTTATTAGTGTTGGTGACGGCCGTTTTCATTTAGAAAGTGTCATGATTAATAATCCATTACTTTCTTTTTTTAAATATTGTCCGTTTAGTCGAAAATTGACGCGAGAATATTATGACTACACAAAGATGGTTTATTTGAGATCAAAGAATATAAAAAAGGTTAGGGCTGGTAAAAATTTTGGAATAATTTTAGGAACATTAGGTAAACAAGGTAATAAAACAATATTGAAAAATGTTATTGATAAATTAAAAAAATACAAATTATATATTTTTATGATGGAAGAAATTACACCCAACCTACTTGATCGTTACGGTTTTATAGATTCGTTTGTTCAGATTTCATGTCCAAGATTAAGTACTGATTGGGGTGAAGCATTTACAAAGCCACTTTTATCTTCTTATGAAGTCTTCTACGAGCTGGGTAGTGAATATAAATTAGATTATTACAGTAAAGAAGGATATGCACCATATAAAAACTATAATAATGTAATAAATAATCAAAATTGATTTAATTGCACTTCTTCTTTTTTACACAAAAGTATTTAGATCTCTTGGCCTTCTTGTTAACTTACCTTTCATCGACTCAATGTCGCCACCGTCTTCTTCAAGTCTTTTTCGATAATCCACAGAGATATTATCATCAGCTTTCTATTGCAAAAAATTAATAAAATAACTTAATTAATATATTGTTTTTTACACACTTATATTGTAACTTGTGATAATATCTACAATTACCGCACCACTTTTGGGATAAGGTTCTTTAGGCATTCCGGCGGGGCGTCTAAGGACTTAATCCAAACTTTTTAATTACTTTTTTTTACACACATCTCTATTACTTATTTCTGTTTATTTGTTTTTAAACGGAATGCCTAAAGGACATGATTCCAAAATGGGTGCCTAAAAAACCTAATTTAAATTTTGTTTGTTTTCTTTGTTTATTTTTAATTTACAAAACAGAAGGGGAAACAATCTGAAAACACCACGACTCAACATTAATAAATCTTTAAAGCTTAAATTACATACAAATATTACCCACTGACCACAAGAACAGGCTCTAAAATCTTAGGTGTGCTTTGGACTTATCTCGCATTCGGTCGCATTTCTAATAAATATTCCATAACGATTAATCTCAAACTGTTAACACCAAATTGTGTCACTATACATAAAGTTTTCATCAGTATGTGTAAAAGGCTTAAATCTAAATATTCATTCATTTTAGGCCCACCTTTTCAAAATTTTCTAATCATTTCTATTTTCTTAATTAGCCGATAAAAAATAAGAAGAATAAAGATAGTGCTAAAACTTCGTTAAAACGAGATGGTGTAATTTAGTAAATAAACTTTAAGGCTTATAAAAAACTAAATTTACAAAGAAAATAACTCTAATATAAAGGAATTAAAAGCAAAAGGCTTGTCAAAAAAAGTGCTAAAAGTATGTATACCATAACGATACAACATTTTCTCCATAAAGTCTTTGTCAATGTATGCACTTTTTTATTTTTCTCTGTTTTATCTTGAGACAACAAATTATCATCAATAGTATCATCCTTTTTATGTCTACAAGACAAAGAAGTCTCCGATGTTTCTACACTTGATGCCAAAATAAAATCACTGCACTTGAAAGGTGCCAAAAAGATGACGGTTTTTACAAGAACTGCAAAACAGTAGCCAACAAAAATCAAAATTAACATATTCTTCTTCTGGAGTACATTAAATTTACAGTTTTTCATATATGGGGTTTAAAAAAATTATTTTTATACTTTAAATTAAAAAACGTTATAAATTAATAGTAAATAACCAAAAAGAACAAAAATGATAAAATGCAATTATTTACATATTAAGACAAAAAAAATCAAAAAAAAGTATTTATTTAATTTAAATAAATTATTTTAAAACTTTATTTTAGATTTTTTTCTAAAAATTCTTAATTAAAAAACATATGTTCATAAAACCATTTTTTTTGTAAATATTTAATTGAAATGCTTTTAAAATATAAACTTTGGCAAATAAAAGATATACTATTTAAGGTTAGTTAAATTATATAATGTAGTAAAGTAAAAATTATTAAAAAATCAATAAAGAACTATTTGAGTAAATCTTTTTTAATTAAAAAATTGATAAATTAAAACAAATAATGATAACAACTTAAATATTTTAATTTGTTCTATTCTAATGGGTTATAAAATAATCACGTGGTAAATATATAACACAATAAAATACATTGAGTATTTAAGCTATAATAGTATATGTCATAACAAAAAAAATAACTTATTATTTTATAAGATAGAATAAAAAGGCTAAAGCCGGCCTTTTCGGTATTTTTGATACTTCCAAAATTTGAAATTTTTTAACCCCAATTATTCAGTTTTAAAATTAATGCACAATAAACAAAAGAATAATAAGTAAATAGATAAAAAATTAATAAATTTACAAATAAACAAATATACACATCATTTATAAATAAATATTAATGAGATAATTTTAATAAGATCTCTGGACTGTTGCTCCCTTCGTTTCTTTTTAATATAAATCTTAATAAGTATATATCAATTAATTTCCATGTTCTGCTTCTTATTGAAATTGTTCTTTTTATTCCACTCCAATTACCTTCTATGGTATTGGTATGCGTGCTAGTTTGCTTGTCAACAAAATGTTTTGAGTAGTTTACAGTTTGATTTTTAAAAATTCTTTGGAAAGATTTGAATAGCCTTTCCAGCAATCACTATAAATAGTCGTTTCTTTTTTAATGTATTTTTTACAAAACGTCGTTAAAGTAAAGCTGTCTATTTTTTCTACGTGTCTTAGCACGATTCTTTTGTCAATTCTTTCGACGGCGCCCACAACCCAAACGCCTTCTACTCTGTGGCCTCTGTTGTATTTTCTCCTGCCAAATTTACTTTCGTCAATTTCAACTATCGCATTATTTCCACCAATTTTATCAAACTTATTTAAATATAAGTCTAATCCACCTAGTAATCGTAGATTATTGCAGATTTCAAAGACCGAAGATCTATGAATTCCTGCAATGCTGGCGATAAGATTGCAAGGAACATTCTCAATCCACATATCTATTACTTTTATTAAAGTAATAATAGGAAGTGGCGAGTTTTCAAAGATTGTTTCTTTATAGCAAGTGAACTTACACTTACATGCAGGAAAAGAACAGACAACCCCATTTTTCCTTAAGTTTACATGTATTTGAACCGCATTTATAACATTTTCGATTGTTATAATGGTTATTGACTTCACTTGCAAATTTTTGGTACTCTTCTTCCTCTTTGAGTTTTATCATTTTAGGGGTTAAAAAATTTTAAATTTTGAAAATATCAAAAAATACCGGTCTGCCCGATTTAGTCCTCTCCCTTCTTTATACTATTCAAAGAATATGTTTGCCTAGTACGATTATTTAGATCAATGGGCTGCATATAGGGATATTACAGGCTTGTCTTTTCAACATTATACAGTAAACTATTCCTTAAATTTTGTTAATCCTGATAATGGTGTCCAAACGCAACATATTGAATTGTATTGTAATAAGAATTAATTTATATTAAAAAAATGAAAGGCGTTAAAAAGGAAAACTTAAATTCATATCATGCTAAATATATGTGGCGTGAAAGATTTAGAAATAACGAGTTTTATAAAAATTTAGAATGTTTGACTGAAATGAATGAAAATGATTAAATTTCTTTATTATTTTTTTATATTTTTTTCTAGGTGTAAATAACCACAGTATCAACTTTCTGAAGAAAATAACCGTACCAATCCGTAGATGGCATCCATACAAATAACATAGAAGGATTTGGGGTCATATGAATAGACTGGGTCTTCTAGCGCAAACTGCCTACCATAATTTTTCTCTAAAAATAAGAAATAAAAAATTAAATAACGAAAAAAATAAGCTCTGCATTAAAAAGGGTCTGCAAGTAGGCAGCTTGCGCTAGAAAAGCAAAGTTGTTTAAATTAAAAATTAAGCAATTTTGTCGCATATGTCTTTTTTTCCTATTTTACCTACAACACCAATCTTCATTTGAGATTAAACTCTTTTAAAATTTAACCCCCAAATGAAGATTGGTATTATAGATAAAATTAATTTTTATGCTTTGTGGTGCCCAAAAGTGGTATGGGCAAAATTTTTTTAACCCCCAAATTTCGATTTTCCTAAAAAGTAACTGGTCTAAAGATCTTTTGAAAATATGATGTGTTTATAAAAAACTTAAAAATTAGTTTAAATAAAACTTAAATAAATAATTTTAATAAATATTTTAATCTTTTCTTTCATTCCTTTTTACCTTTAATCTAAAAAGATATATATCAATTAATTTATTAGTTCTACATCTCACGGGAATGGTTTTCTTAATACCATTTCTATTACCTTTAATTGTATTGGTATGTGTATTTGTTTCCTTATTTATAATCTGCTTAGAAAGGTTAAAAGTTCTATGCTCTTAAAAAAATTGGCTAGCTAGACATAACCTTTCCAACAATCACTAAATATAATTGATTGTCTACTAATATATTTTCTACAGAATAAAGTAAGGGTACAACTGTCACGCTTGTCGACATTTGCCAGAATAATTCTTCCAAACAATCTTTCTACTGCCCCTACTACCCAAACACCGCCTACTCTATGGCCTTTGCGGTGTTTTCTTTTCCCAAATCTGCTTTCATCAACCTCAACTATGCTATCTTTGCCACCGATTTTAGTAAATTTGTTTAAATATCTGTGAAAAAACTCCTAAGTCTCTTAATTTGAAGCATAAATCACAAATCTAAAAAAGCCGAACGGTGAACATTAGATATTCTAAAAAGTAAACTAAAAGGCACCCCTTCAAACCACAAATCTAAAATTTTGACAACGGTGATAATTGGGTGACGAGCGTTTTCGCAAATCGTGCCTTTAAATATTGAAAACCTATACCTACACAAAGATTATTTACATATGACAAAGTGTTCCCGCTTTACTTCTTTGGTTTCATAACCACATTTAATGCAAAATGTATTTAAATAAAAGTTTATAACAATATCAGTTATTTCTTTGTATTCTTCTTCTTCTTTCAATTCAAACATTTTAGGGGTTAAAAAAAAAATTGCCAATACCACTTTTGGGCACCCCAAAGCAAATTAAACCTTTTAAATATATAAGATTAGGTAAGTAGGCTAGCGAAGAAAAAAAAACTATAAATTAATGTTTCCACTTTTTAAAAGTTCTCTCGATTTATATAAAAAAACCTAGTAGTTTGTGTATAATAATTTTCATACCACACTTTTACAATGAACAAATAATTTGTTTTATTAATTTAAAACATCACATATATTAGTGATTTAATTTAGATATTAGTTCATATATTAAAACAATTATGTTTATAGATTAACTATAAATATAAATAAAAAAATTAATTAAAAGATGTACGAGTCCACGTAACTTTAATAATCAAAAGCCTTCAACCATCCGTAAATTATACACAAAAAATCACTTATCATAAAAACTCCCGGTATTCGGAAATCTACAGGTCTTCCTGTAGCATTATTGAATGATTTCTTGTCATAGGCACAATTCCTGGCAAGCACGCCAGTTTGCTTTACTTGGCGTTTTTGCCTACATTTTTTTACCTTGTATTAATGCCTTAAAAATATTTTTTATATTTTCTTGCCCTTCTTTTTAAAAGAAAAACAAATGTAGGCAAATTCGCTTAGAAGACTCTGATTCCACATGCATTCTAAATTATAAGTATAGATATTGAAATCATTTGGATCAACAAAATTGAGGAATAATTTACTTTGGAATGTTGATATGTAGAGCTGTGATATAATATCGTATAAGCACTCCATTTATTGGAAATAATTTTTGATCCGGGGTTTATTCTCCTTATAACGACCTCCACCAATGTTTTCCGTGTTCTATTTATAACGGGTTCAAGAAAACACCTGCGCGTTTGTCTTTCTGTGCCACCAAAAACATATACTGGTTCACCTATTCGTCCTCTGTTAGAAGTTTGTTTACAAAATAGGGATTCATTTATTTTAACATTAATTGTACGTTCTTCACCATCAATTCTTCCTATAATATTCGAATTAAATAAACATTTTTCAGCCACCACGTCTCTAAAATATTCGCACCACGCAGAAACCGAGTCAGTACCAATACCAAGTTATTTGACTATTGTCTTCTGTGGGCAAATTTCGGCCAAAAAATAAATCATAAACAAGACAGGAAAGCGCAAAATTTTTAAATAAATAGCTATTGTTTACAGATCGGTTTCGATTACATGTGTCATTGCTACGATATTGTCACCAATAATTATCAACCTTACTTTTTTTAATTTCATTGCAACGCCACAACTGCAAATTTGCATATTTTTGATTAATCGCAAAACAGCAAGCTTATTCAATACATCGCAAACCGCTCTTTATTGCAAATTGTATATAATTTCCTTGCAAAAAACTTCATTTCGAAAATTTCGGCTAAATTATTAATATCATCAGAAATGATTGTATTTGTTTCTTATCATGACATTTTTTAGGGGGTTCAAAATTTTTTAAAAGTGTCCTCTAGTCTAAAATATCCTTGTATGGATATAACTACGATGAAAATTTTAGTAATTTAGAAAAATAAAATTAATTTATTAAATTTGTACTTCTTCTCATTTATGCAGCATTTAAAAAAAAGCGCTTAAAAAATTTTAATTTAAGGATAGTTAAAATTCTGTCGATTATTGGATGCATTAAGCCAACCTCCTTTACTTTTGTCTAAGTTAATGTTAAAGGCGAATTCAAATCATCGGTTGTTTTTGGTTTGGTTTCTCTATCATCTATTAATTAAAAAGATTTATCCTTACACCTTTATTTATTTTATAGTTGTTTTTTTTCTCATACGACGAATATTTTTTGCATTTATGTATTTGTTTTTTTCTAGCAAATGGGAAACTAGGTGTCTTTTAGACAAAGAGAAGCCAGATCCAAAAAATCTTTTATTTATGATTAATATATTAACATAAATTGAATTGATTTCTGTATTATGTTGTTTAACGAATCATATTTTTCGAGTCCTGTTATCAATTGTGTATTTGATCTTTTAACTAAGGTTATCAAACTTTTTAAATCCAATTCGCTTTGTTTGTATTTACTCAAAAGTTTCGCACAATGGGTTTTAATACAATGTAAGTAGTATATTACTACTTTACTTTAATTTTTAGATTTCTTCTCGTTTACATTATTATTTATTTGAACATTAAATAAAATACTATTTTTGGTTTTTTCCTTTATCTTCACACTGCCATTTTTTTGTAAGCATTATAAAAATATTAATTAATTCGGGGCCGATTTTTAGCAAAAAACTGTAAATATTAAATATCGTATTTACCTGTTGATCATATATTGTATTTATACCATTAATCTCTAAGTGGTAAATTTGATAATATGATAAAATCAAAACATTAATATTTTTCTGTTTAAAAGTGTTGTTTTCCGTGTAGGCATATTACTCCTTAAACATATCATTTTAGTTTTAATGTATTAATAGATAGGTACCATCATTTCAAGATGTATTTATGTAAGAATATTCTGCTGCATAGTTTTGCAAACTATTGTAATCTTTAAAATATATTGTGTCATCTATCAATTGATTAATTGTAGATTTTCTTTCACATTTACTAGTAATAAATTTATTTTGTGCAACTACATAGCAAAAAAGTGGGTAGATCTTGCTTTCAGTTTGGTTTTCCTTTTTACTCCAATTTTAAATGTAAATTATCATCATAAAAATTTATTATATTGTAATAAAATAGGCAGTTCTACATTTTCTTGCTTGTGCTAACTGCCAAAAAATTCTATGAGATAAGTAGATTGTTTTTCGACAAAAATGCCTTTTCGTTTTCTTTAGGAGTATTTCGACCTTAACCACAATCTTCTATATTTTGTGTATGTACAGAAAAATAGTTGGGATTTACAAAATTAACGCTGTGGTTTGCTGTATCATGATAAAAATTTGGCATATTTGATAATGCACGCGCATATGCTTTCCACTTCCCGGTTATAATTTTTGTTACTGGATTTACATTTTCAATAATAAAATTCATCATAGTAAAATGCTTTCTATTTGAAATTGGACAATAAATTATCTAGTAGCTCTTCGCTCTATCCCTCCCACGAACCACTGTCAATGGGTCTTCTAAGCGAATTTGTCTACATTTTTAAAAAATTTGAAGAAGGGTAAAAAAATAAAATAATTGTTTATTCATTTAATTTAAAAAATATTGTAAAATTCTTCGCTTCATTTATTCATCACATATCCCAATTTAAATATATATTAAATCGGCCAGTTGTCAATGTGGTCTCTTCGCGCGTCGTTTTCTTTCCTCATCGTGCTTTTCATGAGACCCCCAAAACCCTTTACATTATTAGTATGAGTTCCATCAGCGGCTCTAAACCAAACAAAATGATTTACAAACAATGTTGGTGGACTAAATTTCTAATAACAGACGGATATGATACATAGCCATCCGTGTGCAATACATTCCCGCTTCTGACAAAAGAACGAATTGTAGCTGTTAAAGATAGTATTGAACAATCAATGACACGGATAAAAAAAAAGTTCTTTTTTTCAGTTCGTTCAACACCTCCTACAACCAATATAATGTCCATAGTATTGTCCGCGCCAGTAGGATTTCTTATAATCCCACGCCGTGAAAGCACATTTTCATCCACTTCGACAATGGTACCAGGACCACCACAAGCAACTGGCCTTGTTTCAAGTACATGCCTACCACATTAATTAAAAGGCTTTTGTATTTAGCAATTTCAACGGCTGAAATGTTTAGGAAATGATAAATTTGAAAGTAATTGCAACCCAACATCAATATATATATATATATCAATTAAACCTTTTTTAGTTAAAGAAAGATTGAATGAAAAAACAAATGCCGCCTCTGGCACCTACGCTTTGTACACCTATATATAATTTTAGGCTTGGTTCAAAAATTACCTGTTGATTTTTAACCTTTAATATGAAAAAAAATTGTCAAAAAACATTATGTAAAGCAATAAAAATAGAGAAAAGGTTGCTCTTGATGGTTATTTCTACAACTTCAAAGAGCACAGTATCGGTAAGCTTGTTTGGAGTTACAATAAGGGTGGATGTAAATCTTACCTTAAAACATCTTTAGATTTAGAAGAACTTACAGATCATAATCATCAAAAAGATGATGAAAAAATTTCTCGTTTTATTCTTAAGGCAGGAATTAAAAATAAAGCATTGAGACTTTAGAATCATTGCAAAAAGTTATATCAAATTTAATTGCGCCATCGTGGCAAATGGCGTCATTTAATCCAAAAAGCATGAATATGTATGTTAATATGCTTAGACGGAAAAATAATTACACCTTTAATATTAACTATGATTTTCCAATTGAATTAACAGTTACAAAAAAAGCTAAGAAGTTATTGTTTTTGATTCTGGTATAGAAGATGCTAACAGAATAGTAGTGTTTACAAAAGAGGAGAATTTAGAACATTTTATAGATTGTAAAACTGTGATCTGTGACGGAACTTTTAAGTCTTCACCGTCAAATTTTGAACAACTTTTTACTTTGCAATGTTAATGTAC